TTCAATAAAAAAGACATTCAGTAATAAACAAAAATGAATCTTTTGTACATAAGAGAAATGACGCTGTTTACACGATTATGCACGTCGTCTGCACGTTGGCGGGCCGTTCAAACCCGTCGAAATTCAAGTTTCCGCCGTCAAATTTTTTATTTATTTATTTTTTTGTGTGTTCCAATAAAATACGTTGAATTAAAAACTCGCGAAATTTGAGAAGCTACTATACGACATTTAACCCTTCAATATGTCTTCAAAGAGACCATGATGCAGAGAAAGTGGTGCTAGTGCTTCCAGGCATAAGCACAAGTCACTATCTATCCAGGAAAAGGGTGGATTTCCATGGTCCGGCACCGGTCAGGTCCCGAGGTTGCCGGACTAGAGAGGTACAACCTGTGTGTGTGTGTATATATATATATATATATATATATATATATATATATATATATATATATATATATATATATATATATATATATATATATATATATATATATATATATATATATATATATATATATATATGTGAAGAAGAAAAATTATAATCTAAATGTTTTGAAATTAAATAATAAAGTGCTATTAAAAATGGTACCTGTATATACAAATGGTCACAGGAAGCATTATAATCTTCACAAAGCGAAATTCACAATTATGAGCAATATTATAGGTAGTAAATTCAATAATTATCTAAACCTGTTCAAAGAAAAAAAAAGATGGAAGATTAAAGTCTGAAATCCCATTCTATAACAAAAGTCCAGACTCGGTAACTCTCTATTAATCGGCAAGTCTCTAGGCGGGTCAAAAAACTCCCCTCGGTCCCAACCCAAGCTTGTATGACCAAGAGACATAACTCGGATAAAGTATAATAGAAAATTAAAATATCCTTCACCATCGCACCTGACTCCGTAATGATAATAATCAATGAGTGAGGAAGTACATGCAGTACAGTATCTAAAAAAGAGAGGTATGCTGTGGAGATTTTGCTGTCAAGTTTAATACACAAGTTATGACGATTTGCTTATGTGCTGACGTTATCTCTAAAACAGTACACATCAGGAACATGCCCTCAGATCTTACTAACTCAACACCCCCACAAAAAAAAAAGAGAGAAAAGGCTTCAGTGTTTCTGGACCATGACTTGCTTATAAACTGGAATATTCTTATCAATCATTCATTCATAACCTTACTGTAGGATCAAGTATCAGTAATGCAGTATATCCAAGTACAGAAGTCTACAGGAACTATGCTTACATCCACAGAGAGAGCCAAGCATTCTACTAAACCCATCCGAAGTCGGTTCTAGACTCTGACAGAAAGATACACTCCTCAGGCACCGCCTACCCAGTAACTGTACTACACAAATTTGGTGATTATTCAGGCTCAGGACTCACAATAAGGACTCTATTCTATAGGTCTTGAGTGCAGAGAATGGAACCAGGGTGACTGGCTGTATGTATTAACACTAACAACAAGACCTGTGTGTGGAAGCCATAAACACCGTATATAAATGTTTAAAACTACGAGAAGAAATGTTTAAACTTATCTGTAAGATTATAGCAGATACCGAGCAGCCCTATATTGGTGCTGAAGTGTAATATGTTCTGAGGTATTGTTCCTGACAGTCAGCAGTAAAGTATAGATGACACCAACAATGAACATCTCAGAGTATAAGCGTTAGGTTACGTCTGGTAGTAAAACTCTCCATTCTTTACCCATTTTCTGTTACTTTTATTATGTGGCCATCCATCAGGAGCTCAATATGAAGGTGAAGGCGTTTTCAGATTTTTAAGCGTACTGTATTAAAAAATTATGTCCTCGTTACACAAGTTGGGGCCATGGAACTTGTTGGGTCTCGTCGCCCTTGACTTGCTTGCTAGACAAATTTCACTAAGTCCTTACATCAGGTTATACCAACAACATCAACAGACTGCAGTAACAACAGTCCACAAATGTACCTAATGTGTGTGTGTGTGTGTGTGTACAAACTGTAGTCACCGAATAACATGCGATTAATTACACTGAGAAAAAACACTAAACTGTGAACATAGACGACATAAAAAGGACATAAATAAGAACAGAAATAAGTTAGTCTGAAGCCGTTCTGCCGTGAGGGTGTGAACAAGGCCTGAGGGTTGAGGGGGGGTGGTGGTAGAGGAGGAGGGGGGGGGGGTTTACTGGTGGTGGGATTAGTCAGAAATCTGAATTATAATTTTTAATAAACAGGTGAGAGACCAACCACATAACAAGCATAAAAAACAAAACCATAATTTACTTAATAACAAACTAATAGGGTGGTTAAGCCCAACAAGGACAATAATATGAATGTTACTTCCGTTTCATATCCAACGTAAGCCTCTCAATTGCTTGATTAAAACACATCGACAAATACTATACATTTTAACAACTACTGCACTTGTGGCACGAGGAGAGCTCTGGGGCACAGGAGAAAGGTTTGGCATATTTCTAGTAAGCCAGCAGGTAAAAAAAAAAGCTCTCAGCCTGAACATAAATACAAGCACATCACTTACTCTTACAAACCCTCTTCTTCACAGTACTACACTCAAAGGCAGATCCACTGGTTGATAAAATGATCGACTGATCCAGAAAAACCATTTTATAACCCAATAATATATGGATCAGCTGACTCTTATACCGAGTGGCTTGTGGGTTGTTGTCTTCAGGGTTATCAAAGACCCCTCCCATGTGTCACTGGGATTGATTGATTGGTTGGGTTAAATATCTAGCATCAGAGCCTCTATGTCACTGAGACTACATTCCAGAAAACTCAGACAATAATTTGAGAAACATAAGAGTTAGTATTGTATCTCTTGCCACAACTAAAAATGTGTTAGCATGAAAAGTTTACTTGTTAGAGACTGAGAGGTAAAAGTGTGTCTGAGTTACACTACACTACAGTAATCCACGCACATGAGAAACTACCAAGTTGACTGAACACCTTAAGTTACTGGCCACCCTCAGTACAATACCCCGAGGCAGGCGAGAGGAATCAAGAGTCACCCAATCCACGACAGGTTATAAAAAGAGATTTCAGGATCAATCCCTCGTTTATAACCGAGTCAAATGGGTCAGGCGACTCAAGTATCTCGAGTTAATTAATACAGAGTGAGTAACACTGAGGCATAAACTCCCAAGTCACAGCACGACTTGTACCTTTTATCCCAAGATTCAAGGAAAGACAGGAACACTACAAGCTCCCACATGCTAATCTAGTCTACATGAGAGAAGCATTTAGATACACTGTTGTCTATACTTTTCTCTGTAGGAATAACTTGACAGTTAGCAGAGAGGCAAAACCATGATTGAATTCACCATATCTAGTTGTGTATTTTTTCTAGAAAGGTTCAAGTTACCAAATAGTGAACCCTGATGACTCTTGATCAGAAAGAAATGATGATTCTCTACACTGAAGAATCTGCCCGGAGGCTCCTGCTAGTACACCCCCATCAGATTCAAAGCTTAAGTCACAAAGAGAGTAGAAAATGCTATAAAAGATGAAAAAAAAATTGCTATTTTCTTAATATACTGTTGCTGAAACACACCTAGTCATCACTCCATTGCCTATGTTGTACTACTTAGGGGGGAAGAAATAAAGAAAAAATAGTAACAGTGGCTGCCATGACTCAAAAAAATACACGGTAAATAAAAGAGTGGGACCCAAACTCAAGGCCGTGAGACCTGCACACCATAGTCTAAAGTCATCTCCTATGTAAGTCACCTCTTATGTGGCAATATGATGCACTGAAAGATACTCAACTACTGTATAGGGAAAATCCCCAACACAATGGGAGAAATTAAAGGAACAGGGAATGTGTCCCGAGAATTCTTTGTGGATGCTTTACCTGGAATAACAGGTTTGGAGCTCACTAACAGTGGATATAGACACTGTTGGGTTGAGAAGTACGGCAGTTCAGGCTTATCGGGAGACGGGTTGAATTACGGTAACCCATTTCGCTCACTTTGAACCGCCAGGCTGTAGTTGATCTGCTGTTAAGAGCCTCTCAAGGATCCAATACCCTCTATGATCAGATGTAAGAGAGCATAGAATAATCCCAAAGGAGGGAATATTATGTGCAGATCTGACTTGACCTGAGGTGGGATAATAAGCATTACATTCCACCACAGAATATACCCATGAGGGAACCTAATCATCCCCTCTCTCAGGTGACCTACGCTGCCAGATCTTATATGTGGAAATATCAAAGCTGAGTTATGTGCCGTGGAATACTGACACTGTGCCAGCTAGTGCCAATAGCTACTGACTGCCAGCTACCTAACTACCACGAGGGTCGTTAAGCATTTGTAAATACTCTTGCAATATAATAAATATACCCCAAGCATAAAACTACTGCCCAGGACTGTGTGGCAACCCAGTCTATCCTCATAAGAAGACCCAAAATAAATATAAGAAGCACTTAGCTGTTGAGAACATGGAGTCAGGTGGGAGGTGTCCAAACAGCAGGTGATGTGACTTGGAAATGAAAGTTGAGTTGCCTTCCCATTTTGTTGTGTGCTTGGATCACAGAGTATATGCACAGCAGTGACACACTCTTAGCTCTAGACCTCTGGCAGTAGCTGTCTCATCTCATCAGTGTTTACCACATTTTAGGGTCAGTGGTTGTGTGAGGAGAGATACTACAGTACCTTTAGTTCTCTCCTCAACTGAGCAGTTTTATGTCATCCCAAGTGTAGGATTCCTGGACACCCTGGGGTCAAACCCACAAGCTTCTTGGTCCAACACATGAGTCACCTGACCCACAGCATCAGTTATCAAATATGATCTTACATTTTGTTTTATTAATCCCACCTTTTCTTTCAACTAAAGTTTAACATGGTGAGCAGTTCAGAAGTACAGTACTGTGTTACAAAATAAGAAGAAAATACTGTTGATATGGGTCTGCCTCTGAAAGCATAAATGAGCAAGCAAGCTGACTAAGGCAAGCGGCGGCAAGCACAGACAGGGCCGACGGCGGGGGGGAGGGGCGTACCCGTGGGTGAGGCGTCTTGGCCGGCTGATAGGTAGCCAAGGTAACTGTCCTGAAACTCTGCCAGGCCAGCCAGAGCATCAGATTGGTAGGCCTGGGGCTGGTAACTCGCGCCAGCCGAGGCAGGATCAGCCCTAGGGGTGGGGGGATTGTTGCCTCCCCCTCTGGACCGTCCACCCCCAGAGTTAGCCCTGCCCCCCTTGTGTGTGTGCGAGAGGTGGTAGGACAGACCCTGTCTGGTCTTGTAGCGAGCGCCACACACTGCAAGTCAAAAACCAACATTCCCTGCAGCCCGCATTTCCCTCAAAAGATTATCCTAAAATAACTCCAAAAAAAGAGCCTGTTTGGTGCTTTAAGAAAATTAAATACATGATTAAAATATTACAGTTGAGTACAAAGTCTGGTTCCTGACTACCTTCACTCAGCCTCAAACAATCATACTGCAGTGTATCTCAAGTCTTCAAAATTTTCATTATTGAATTAAGCAAATAAGAGAAGTCATTTAGAAGCTGAAGCATAAATAGTAACTATGAAAAACTTATGACTGAGCACCTCAGACTGTCATTCACTGCCATATCTGTCATCTGTGGCAAGGCTTAAGCACCACAAAGAACTCCACTATATAGGAGAATCCTTTTAGTCTGACTAAACATCACTGCCAACATGGCTCCCTCATACTCAATGAACTGCATCAGAGCAAATGACATCCAAACTCTCTCATGTAACTGGGGAGACTGTTCCTTTATCATCAGTTATTTCATAATAATAAAAACCTTCAGTGCAAGTATTGCCATGAACCATCTCAAGTGTGTGTGTCATATCTTGAACTATTTACTTTATGTGCAGATGAAACATATACTTGGTGAAGCAACCAATTGGTTGAAAAATTTGTTAGTTTCAAAAAAATAAAATTTTAACTTAAATAGCTCTTCACTGATAGTACTGTAGTTTTATGTACAAAGGAGTTCCCAAAGAAAGACCAGGATTAACATGTAATAAAAAGACCTAAAGAACTTGGGTACTCAGAAAAACAAATGACATGTGATCTGACTTCAAGGTTAGATAAAAAAAAAGTGAAGAAATAAAAGCAAAGTTGTGAGATATTAAACACATCATATATATATAATAGTACAGTATATCACATATACTTATTAATGCCATTAGTCTACTGTTAATAAAAGAATTGGATCTTTAAAACTATCATATGAATTATTTAAAAAAGTCAAAGAAAAAGAGATTAATAATTTATTAAACATGTTAATAAATGCCTGTAAAATATTAGATGTTTGATTGTGATTCTTAATAGTTGCCTAGAGACACTAAATAAAATAAAATCACCATTGTTATTGTATAGTAAACAAATCATACAGTATACACACCTTTCTCATATACGTAATCTATACCGCGGAGAGAAAAGGGTTTTCTTCTCATTAATCTTTACACTGGGTCTAGATTTTCCTTTGAGGTTAAGTTCTTGAAAAACTTAAAGTAGTACAGTATTCATTACATGCAAAGTGAACTTGACTTGTGACGGGGAAAGAAGTGGTTGGTTGTGTTACTGTACTGACTCTGAAGAATGTGTTAGTACTTTTTTAATTATCTCATTCTTGGTAAAAAAAAAAATGTACTCCTAAAATGTCTTCAATAACAGATGAACAATATCCAAACTCAGACACTTCTGTATTGTATATATTAAATACAATTATATAGATATTACAGTGATTTCTATGTCACACTCAGTTAAGTTCTTCATCCACGAATGCCTGAATGAAACTTGACTCACGTTAGTCCCTCCCATTAACTCTCTACCGTCTTTCATATAGCACAGTGTGTAAGACTCTTGACGTGGGGCACAGTGACCCAAAACTCAACTACTGTGAGTAATAATGTTCCTAGCATTTATAGATAAGGTAAAGGGCCTTAGCACTGTGATAAACCAATGACTGATAACAGCGCAGCAGAGCAAAAAAAGGAAGTTGAGGAGACAAACAACCAAAAACAGGGTATCATATTTTATAAATAAATGTTGAAAAGAGAGAAAGTTCCATTCAGGGTTACAAGTGACTGATACCTGCCTGTCTTGGACTACTGTAAAGAAGCAATGAGACCACACCTACAGAACAGGACTAAAACTGATACAACGCAGAGCTAAAATTATTCTTGAAATAAGTCATCTCGATCATATTCACGTAGACTGAGAGCTCTGGGACTGATAACTCTTCAAAACTATCTGTGTCCGATCTTACAGAGCTTTTAACGTGGTGAAGAAGATGGACAACGTTAACCCAGATCACTTCTTGAAGACATCAAACACTATTAACATAAGAGGTCACAGTTTCAAGCTCACCAAGGTGTCATGCAGAACAAATTAAAAGAAAACTGTTCATCATGCAGAGGACAGTAGACCAGGAGAACAGTCTACCAGCTGAGGCTTTGGAAGCACAAACAGCACTAGGCTTTAACATAACTCTGAACATAACTATCAAGAACAATGGGGGGGGGGGATCCTACACCCATTCCAGAGAGGTCACTAAATTCCTTCCCCCATAACTAAGTCTTCAATAGTTACAGAAGTTGCTAAAAAAATAATAATAATAATAATAATCCCAAAGAAAATATCTAAATGTTCATTGTATATATATATAAACAAAAAATAAAATAAATTGCATCTCAAAATTTTGGTGTGGAAAAAATTATTTGATCCATAAAGCCCATTTTATCAATTAGCCAGTTTGGAGCAACTTGTACACGAGGAGCCACCCAAAGTTTAGTCCTTGAAAAAGTTGGATTGATCCTGAATATCTTTTTTTCTGGCAGAGATCATAAACAAGAAGCTTCTAGAGATAAAGGCTGGCTATTGACTCAAAAAAAGGGGGAGGGACGGGAGGGGACATGGTTGAATAATTGTCCCTTGGAAACAAAAGGCCTGTTTGTAGCTACTGGTGTGTCTAACCAAACAGTACACAACAAGCCAAAATCTGTTCTTATTTTAGTGTTATCTGCTCTCTCTCTGGTTTAGTTCTTTGCCGACTCATCTATGAAACCCAGGGAGGAAAGAGTGTGTCCCAACAATCTATCTTTGGACTCCCAGAAAAAGGGATTTAGAGATAATTCTAATCTTTCTGGCTAAAGCTCTCTACCAGATGAAGCCTCATAACCAACACACAACTACACAAGCTGTAGGAGGAATTGGTACAAAAAACTCCAGGGTGAGTCAAGAGAATCACTGTAGGAGAGCAGAACCTTTTCTTATTTGTTGTCAGGGTCGTCACGAATGAACTCTCCCTTACCATACAGCCCTGATGATATCTATGTCGCTCAACAGCCGTCACTAAACCAAAACCCCCACATAAAATGCTCAGGGGAAATTGCCTCTGACACACAAACCACATTGTATACAGCAGGCAGCTCAAATACTCTGATAGAAATGTGGACTGAGGTACAATGTTTGCCAGATAATGTATGACCAACAAAATGTTATGCTAGTATGGTCTTGGAAATGGTGGCAACAAATGTAAACAAACTTTACAATATGTTCTATGAGAGAAAAAGTTGCCTTTTACAGAACATCAGCAGAGTCACCCAGATTGACTGTCTTCTGTTACTGCCGGCCAGGAACTGAAGAGAAGCGGTCAGCTCAATACAGAGTCACTTATATTCATTTGGATTAACAGATGGCAGAGCAGCTTGATGCAGTGAGAGCTTATCAGAGAGTCAATGCTCAAACATAACCTTTAGCCTCTACGGACAACCACTGTACCTGTCCCCTTCATGTCTAAGACTGGCAGTACACGGTGAAGAAAAAGACTTAAACTGATAAATTAACACCTGGCAGCCATTGGGGGACCCTGTAGAAGGATTTAAAGAGACCTTCAGTTAAGTTGCCGTACATTTATAACAGCTTCCCTACTGAACGGTAATGGCCAGAAAACAGATTAAGTCAAGTGATGAGCCTGACCAACACCTCACAGCTCCTCCACACAACACCTACTCTCCCATCCCATACACTTCACTCCCCTTTTTTACAGAGATAAATTCATTAATCTTTAACTGTTTATTAATGTTTATTTTTCAATAGATAATGCAATTCATGAAGAAAAAAAAAATCCATGACATTTTTTTGAAAGAATACTTATTGTTTACATTGTTCTAGCACAAAGCTTTTTTTTTAATGCTGTTAACTGATTATTTCATCTTCATGACCGTATTCGTCAGCATTTCTTTACTGCTACTGTATCACATCATATTATTTCAGCTTAGCCAGTCATGATTATATGTAGACATGATCATAACTATAGCAGAGGTGGGGTGGGGGTAATGATGTAGGGTAGGGGGTGGAGTGGGGTAAAGTGGGGTGGGGTAAAGGGGGGTGGAGGGGTGGGTTGGAGGGGTGGGTTGGAGGGGTGGGGTGGAGGGGTGGGGTGGGGTAGGGAGGGGTGGGTGTCAAGTGCACTATAATTCAAAGACTCGTGGACTGGTAAGCTCTTATCATAAACTCTGCAGATTGAATTGGGATTTAATGCACATCAAAATGACATGTTTCGATATATTTCTTCCACGTCATAAGCATCTGCACTTCACCAATACTGTACCACGTGATTCATGAAGTCTTTTAACTAGTTCCTGTACAGTATTATACAAAAATGGGTCAAAATTCAGTTCCTGTAGTAAACAAAGTAAGTCCAAATGTTTTAGCCATGAAATAAAATCAAGAGTTTGGATGTCACATGTCTCATACAGTACGTGGCAACTCTCACAACAAGTAACGTCAACTTACGCTGGCACTCGTAGGGCTTGCCAGGGGTCTCCTCGTCGCCCTCTACAGACGTCTTGGACTGAGGTTCTTTCTTCCTTCTGCCGCGGCTGCCTGGGGTCTGGAAAACACAACAGCGGATATTAGCCATAATTTGTACCGCATACTGTAGGTGTCTCCAGCAAGACTGAGGCAACAGGATCCAACTGCTTCAAGAGTTTATTATCAAATCACGTTTACCGACTCATTCAAATCCAGCTAATGAGACGACCAATAGCAGATTTTTGTACAGCTACACAGTTACCAGCAGTTGTAATTATACTAAAATCTCACAGGTGAATGGCCTCAGATATCCTTCACACTGTACTGTATTCCCCTCAGCAGAAGAAAGCATTATTCTCATTAAAGTTATGAATGTAGGGTAAACAGTTACTCGGCCAGATACATCTAGACAATAAAGACGTTCATGGACGTAGTGGTTGGTTCTGATAACCTTTGTGAACCTCCACGATGAAAACATGATGAAAATCCAAAGAATTATATATTTTTTTACTAATAAGATATTTAGATGTTTAACAATGTATCTTAATGTGCTTTTCATATCTGTCCGGTCCCACCCATTGTACACTCAGCCATGTTGCAATGTTTCTTACCACGTTTAGTGCTGTGCCATAATGGATGTTTGTATTCCTCCATAATAAAAGCAACGCAGATAGGAAGGTAAGTACAGTACTGTGTTACATGACTGTGGTACAATCGTTATTTTAAACTGTCTGCCCGCTTTGGGATATTTAAATACCACCGTACATAATATGAGGACAAACGCTAAGTATATGTGAAAATCTGGTTATCCTGGGATGGAACGAGTGTCAAATTTTTCTGATCTATGTGTGTGTTTTTTTTTGTTTTATAGGTGGGAGGGAGACACAGAGCTTAGCTGACTTTCTCCGATTCTCTCTGATGGTGGGCTCCTCTGTGTAGCCCATAACATTAAAGAGTAATTAAGAAACTCAGCTCAAACTCCGTGTTTCTCTCCCACCCATCAAATCCACTCGTCATCATGGACCGACCACAACACACGGTACTGTACTCTAGTCAAATATTAATAAACAACACAGAAAATAAGAATAATACAATACCCTCACTTTCACGGGCTTGGGAATTTTCGGGGCTTTTTTCCTCTTTCGCGTTGGTGTGGCACGAGTGGAGTATGTGTCGTCATCGTCGTCGTCCGGCTCCTCTTCCTCGTCTTCTAGGAAAGCTGTCTCGTCAAAGTAAAAAGGTTCCTGCAAGAAAGTTCATTTGATCGTTGTTATTATTATTTTCTTTTTATGATGACACAACAGAAGATAAAAATAAATGATATATGGTATACACATTGATTCTTTCACTCACTCCCTCCCTCTCTCTCTCTCTCGCATTCACCCCCTCCCCTCTCTCTCTCTCTGTCTCACTTCCTCCCTCACTCTCTCACTCACTCCCTCATTATCTAACTCTCCCTCAATCTCTCTCTCTCTCTCCCTGATCAGATATTACCTGACATACTGTACGGCCGTTCCTTAACTAACGAACATTCGGAGATATACGAACCAACCTGTCCAATTACGTCCATTCGACTCTTCAAATACTGTATTAAGTATTCATACATTAAAATACAGAGCTGTTAAAGGCTGGTAAAATGCACTGTAGAGTCATGTACTGTATTTATTATGAAGGTATAGATGTACTGTACATTTTTTTCTCTTTCTTTACAATAAGTTTGGTACGGTATCTTCAGGAGCAAAGCTCAACTAACAAACAAGCCCCAGGAACGAACTCATTCATAAACAGACAGGCACGTGTATTCAAAGCATAAGGCCGATACGCCACAAACGCGTCGTCGGTGATTAACCACACACCGAGAACAACAACGCACACGGGAGGTTTCACTACTGAGGGATCCGACGCTAAGAAACAGTAACAGTCGATGAGCCGTACCGCTACTTTTGTCTCGTACACAAAGGTTGTCTCCTCGGTGTTGACTGCTGCCGGGTTCTCCACGGTGACGATGGTGTGTTCGTCGCCCTCTGGTTCTTTAATGGCCTGTAATAGAAGTAATCGTTATCAATCATTCAGCAGAGAAACATCGTCTGGGTGAGTAAAACAAGATCTCAAGTACTGTACAGGCCGAGCGTCAAAACCTTAGGTCCAGGAAAATATTTATGCTCTAATATAAGTTTCACTACGTACAGTACTTGCTCGTAAATATTGCTCCTGAAAAACAAATGTCTGTAATATGTATATACGGTAGTAATCCTAAGGGTTTTCTTATTTCAAGGGTCGTTAACACTAATTACTCAAAATTTTAAACTATGAACCCAGATCCTTCATCAGCATGGTAATGTTAGTCTTTATTCTTGAGAAAGATATATAAGGGGTGTTTAAAACTTACGGGCACAGCATAATTGATGTCTTAAATACAGGCACAGTATATGTACAGGTACAGTATATACACCGGTACGTACTGAGCAGTTTTACCGGAAATGCCAGTTTTACAGAATGAAAGCAACTGGCTGGTGAAATATGAATTACAGGTTCTGTAGTTGCAAAAGTGGTTGGTCAATATCCGTAAAATTCAACAAATTCTATCACTGTAAAGTAAATGTCAAGAAAGTTTACGAATAAATGTCGTAAATGTCTAAATTTTGGGCTCATGGTCTCAAAGATTGATCATAGCCATGTGATGACTCTGTTAACAGCTCACAAAGTTATAAGGTTTGGCATCCTGTTGGGCCCAGAGTTACACGGACTTGAGAGGTTCTGTAGTACGTACAAGCATACTGTAAACCAAATACTGTACGGTGTATACAGTAAATATAGTACCTCACAATAAGATACCACACATTATAGTGTCTCATACAAGGCACAAATAATACAAGTTATTTTTATCATTCATTTACCTGTACTTATGTATTCACAAGACCCTGAATAATGGCCCCAAAAAAAAGAAGAAAAAAAAATCAATCAAAGTGCAGTGCATCATTCCCATCCACTAGCGATAAAGCAGCCAGTATGAGTCCGCGTATACTAATTGATCATGAACAGTACAGCTGTGGACAAAAGTTCACTCCCTGCGGTGAAACTGAGTCACGGGAATGAGTCTCCGAACTGACATACCCTGACTGATATCTGGTGTGGGTGTGTCGCTTTATTTAATCTGGGGTCGACACTGCTACAGTTTTGGAGGGAGTGAACTTTTGAACCTAATTGTATAGTATTAAGACAATTGGGTGAGGAGAAAGTCGGGCAAAAAGTCAGGTAATATTATCCAGGTGGCTGTCAAGCAGTGAGGGGTGTGTGTGTGTGTGTGTGTTGTGTGTGTGTGTGTGTGTGTAGAGGTGCCCTGGTGGTGATAGTGAGAGAGAAGTGTTGGTGGTGCAAGTTAGTTCATGATATTGGTAGTGATAATGGCTGGTGGTGTAGGTACTTGGTGGTGTAAGTGGTAGGTGGTTCAAATTGTGGGTGGTGTAGATGATGGCTGGTGTAAATGGTGGGGTTGGTGTAGATGGCTGGTGGGTGGCATAGATGAATGAGAATGAGCATAATAAAAACCTTCAAGTAGCAACTCGGCCCTCTAGTTTATACCACACCCTTAACGTCAACTAGTGGGGTGACATTACTCCCTGTCATCTCTTAGGGACTGACGGCCAATTTGCTGTGATGTATCGGGTGTGTATTTATGAAGCTCTAATAGGTACTTACAACGTTTGCTGCCGCCCACTTAAAACAACGTTATAGTGACAAGTTCATTATATATATTTTACTATAATAACGTTTCCTTGTGCAGTATACGAGTAATTGTCTGACTCATTCTTGGTATTATTTACTGTATTTGTATGTAAGGTCGACAGAGGTGGTGATATTGGTGGTGGTGTTGACCTGTGAATATGTGGTGTGGTGTACTGTGGTGTGGTGCAACGGTTGTGTAGAGCAGTGGTTGTGTGGTGCAATGGTGGTGTGGTGTGATGGTTGTGTGTGATGCAATGGTGGTGTGGTGCAGTGGTTGTGTGGTGCAATGGTGGTGTGGTTTGATGATTGGTGTGTGACGGTGGTGTGGTGTGATGGTTGTGTGGTGTAGGAATGACGGTATACAGTTGTGTGATTGAGCTATGTACCGCACTATGCATTACCCAGAACAGCAATGTTAAACCTGTGGAGAGAACATAGTCCCACACACTGAAATAATCCATTTCACCAAGTATATCACAGAATCATTCCTTAAATTCATTCCCGTGGTGGTGTTGTTTTTGTCCCACTTAAGCTAATGGTACAGTACAGTATATGGTTAGTTGAAAATAAAACCTGGATTCATAACGACTACTTACTATGGCTGTACTGTAGCCAACTGATGAATATGTACAGTAAATCATTCCCATGCTTGGCATACAAAACACAACAGACTATGCTTTGTAAACGGCAAAATAAGGAACCAATTTTCACGGTAGCTAACGAATCGTGTAATAATAATAATAATAATAATAATAATAATAATAATAATAATAATAATTATAATAATATCTCGTAACATGCCTACTGTAACATCAACAGGATGAGTCATGCCTTTTTGTATTCTAGTAAGTCATACTGCATCCGGCTGAGCATGCCTAACTACAGTACTGTTTCCACATAACCTTGAGCATCATCTATTGTTCACATAATAACATGCACAATAAATCATACTAAAAAAAAAAATAAAAAACATGCCTAGTATACTTAAGAATTAATTTTTCACATGTACCTTTTTTAAGAGCCAGTGCTGTAGGCCAGAGAGAAGAGTTGTTTTAGGATGTGAAGCAAATAATGTTCTTATAGACGAATAAGTGTAGTTTTTTAGTTAAGAGATTTACTGATGAGGCCAAAGATAAGTCTCTATAAACTATTGTTACATATACCAGGGAAAGTTATGGCTTGTCCTCCATGATTCTTTTTATGACATGAGAAGAATTTTAAACAAGACTCATGAGAACTGTGTATCACCCCTGACTTGATGGCCACCTGTAGCAGTTAACAGTGAGACTTAATATATTAATTAGTTTCTCTAACAATGTCTGAAAGAACCTCTGAGCGTGTGTGTGTGTTGGTACCTACGACCCAGCCAAGACACGGGTTTATTTGTTGCCACACTCCACTTTTGGCCAGACCTTGGGCTTATGTTTTACTACACCTCCACCCACACTCTCAATACTCCACACTTGTCTTAATTAACACTCAACATGTGATCACTCTTATTAACCCTGGGATATTTTCATCAATATCTTCATTGTGGTTTGTAAGTAAGTCCATTAAAACATGATTTACAAGTTTCACAGAGAAGCCGTGACATAACATACAGCGTCTCATTACACAGCCACAAGGTCTTGTTCCCGAGCACAGTGACACGTGTCGTTACAGGTATCTTAAAAAAAAAGTGCGAATAGTATCTAAATAATAAATAAATAAAATAACCATTGATCGTCTGTGTCCGTACATACCTGGTGAGCTAGTGCCATGTACGATCTTTTTCTGCAACACCATCTCTGGGACGGGTACACGTACAGCTGACCCTCGACAGTCCCGGGCATTCGATGGCGGGCACTCATGTACAATTTACACGGGTTCTGTGCTATACCTGTGAGAAAATAAATAAAACAATGAATTAACATGTTTAAATTTTTCCTTCAATTTCCAAAGGCAATTAATTGTTTATTCAACATTAAGAGAACTTTAAACTCTCATCTTCATTTGATTACCCCCTCGGACAATGGAGTTTCTTAGGGTGTATTAAACGGCCTGAACATAGCACACCTTAAGTCCACCATGGCACCATCCACGAAATAGACATGGTACTAGATAAGGACTTTCTCGTTGCTTATCATGTCGGGATCAAAATGGTAAAAAGGTTAATAATAATTCCTCTTAATCCCAAGAAAAAGCTCAACAGAAAAATACAACAAATTAAAATTCACCTAATACTGTCATCCAAAAGCTTTCATGTATATAGGGTGTCCAAGAAAAAATGTCCATTGCCTCCCTCCCTCCAACTAACAGTGTCTGAGGGAGCAGGCAGGGAGGCAGGGACATTTTTTTTTTGGACATCCTATATACTGTCCAGGGTATTCATAAATTCAAAGTCCATGTATTTGAAGAGTGGGATACAAAATAAGTCTCCAATAACCTAACCTACACAGCTAAAACAATACTCCTAATACCAACCTGTCTGTGAATCAAGGAATGGGAGGCGAGTTTTCCGTTCACGCATCAGTCGCACGTTGTAGTTGGCGCTGTTAATCATTAAAGACCGATACTGTACATCCTGGAGGAAGCTGTAGAAGATAACAAAGATTACAACACACTGTAGGCAACATTGAGGTAGTTCTATTGGCTACATAGTTCCAACAACAGAAATATATAATGAATGGATCTTTTGGTACAACCGAGACTAATACAGTTTAGTTTATTATACGGGATTATTCAATAAATTCGTCTATTAACCAAAATAATATTGTAGTTTTAAAATAAATAGGACAAAGAAACTGACGAGATATTTTCAACGTCCATACCTGAAACGTAGACAAACATTGACCAATGACAGTGATGGTCTGAATGCAAGATAAAAACCTCAAAAAAACACTCCATTGTCTAATAGCGAGACTAAAAGACACTCTTAGCTCAATCACTATTTTAGGACACAGATTAATACATATCAAACAGGTATCACTTGTCTCTAATAACAGTATAACAAGAATATAACCATGAAACCTTTTATAATATCATATTATTTAAGATTATGACCTCTAACCTATTCATAAATCCTGGGAAATATTAACTGGAGACATAAATAATCCCCTTAAACCATCTTATCCTACAATGGTTCAGGTGTCGAGTTTATTCACCTGTTATTAATCACTCATAACTCAAATATTTCTTTCAGTTCGTGGGGATAATTTTTTATTCATTTGGGGTTATTATATTGCCCTTTATACTCCTTAATAACGTTATTAAGATGTAAGACAGGTGAGAACAGGTGAGGGTGGCAGTAGCGGCTCGCCCCTCTGTTCTCGGTACAAGTGTCACCATCAGCTGTGTTTCAGAAGCCATTCCGTCACTTACCTGCTTATTTTCTCCAAATTGGTCTGTACCAGTGTGTCGGCCATCTCTACGGTGGTTGAAGGAGCCTCTAAAGTGGCGAAGGAGGGAGAAAAAATCGAAAAAATGGTTAAATTCCGGCGTCCATTAGTAATTAGTTGTGTAGTCGTCCCCTTCGACCCATTTGTTTACTAGATAGTGACGCGTCTCAACCCTCCCCCCCGACCATGGCTTACTCTTTATATCTCCTATGATAACATTTTATAATTATAATTGGATAATAATGTGTTATTTAGTTGAGTTTATTTGATATTAAGTTGAAATGGTAAATAAATTAATATTACTTTTGATTTGTCTGCTTTGTTGTAAATCAGTTTAATTTTATCACCCTTTAATTCATTCGGACAAATATCAGTGTTTAGTACATAAATGGGGAAATAATTCGTTAAATCATTCATTTATGTCTAGAATATTCATATTTATAAGACAATTTTATATTCTATTTATTTCTAACTAAATATATTTCTACTGATATTTTGTGCTTGACGTATTCGAGTCTTCTTTTTGTCTCTGACTTGAGTTACAACTTCTCTCATTTTTCAATTTTACTCTTGAAATACATAGAAAACAAATTAATAACTTAATAAATAATATACATAGTACTCATATAGATATTTTTATGTTATTATTTATGGTGTTTTATAGTTTTTGTGATGTAAGAAATAGAGAAGAGAAAAATCGGACATTAGTCGATACTTGGTGGGGTCGCCGCGCGCAGAGGAGTGTCGGCGTCGTCCCTAATTTATGAGCTTCGCTTCTTCTTTTTAGGCAAAATGAGTAGGCGAGAAGGTAGTGTGACGCTGCTTCTTCCTCTGATATCAAAGTTGTTCTCAAATAAATATAAATCCGGACGATGCAGAGGGTAAATGGTAGAGTAAATCCAATGACTTGACTCACTCACTCACTCACCCTCTCCCTGACGTGTGATATTAACCTTTTTTATCTTTGTGCCTCACTCTTGGTCTCTTTGACAGCCAATTGTTTACATTATTGTTTACCAGTCTGTGATATCAGTAGTTTGGTTTATGATAGTGTATTATAGATCAAGATGTATGTCCTGTGTGTGTGGGAACGTGGGCTGACCATCTTAATATTACTGACTTACCTAGTGTGTTTAATTATCATAAAGTGGCGAGAGAATTTGTAATGAAACTCAGGAGGTATTTTAAATAACGTCATGTGCTTACGGTCAAGAATGCCCAATCGTGCCGCGGAGTGTGTGGCTCGACGCAGACCTGACCCTATACATCGTGAGGTTCTTTTGGTCTGCATCTCGTAAAATATTTAATGTTTTAGGCATTTGGGATGTTTTGAAATAATTTATTCTAATATCATCGTTTATCTGTCTGTTGCCTGGATGTGAGAAATAACAAAATAATTTTTTTTGAAGTTTTACATGAAAATATAAGGTAGTAATGTATTGGTATCCTCTTCCTCATGTTTGATAGTTACCGTACTTAGGGATGACAGTGTGGCGAGGATAATACGTCTTGGCGGCCAGATACAGCATACAGACGTGATGGTTTGCCGCGAACTTCCTATAGAACTAACCTAATGTAGCCCGAGTGATCTTCAGATAAAATTGAATCAGCTTCGGATAGATTTGTTCATTTTGCTTTTAAAAAACTAATCTAACCTAGCCTAACTAACCCGACCTAACCTAACCCAAACCCCCTTTCTTTGCCTTCACTACGGTATTTCTTAGGTACATCTCTCCCGCAGATCATGCATAGGCTCTGTTCCTGAAATGTTATCTGTAATTTGGATGTCCCCATATCTTGATTTCATTTCTATCTGTATAATTATAGATAAGTTCCTACAGACAAAAAATTAATTCCTGGTGCAAACAGAAAAAAATTACTGAAGATCTTTTTACTTACAAATTTTGAGAGTAAGACAAAGATGTAATTTTCGAGTCTACCGTGTGATGAAAATATCCTTGGGTAATTTAATTCACCTTTATGTGGTAGCTTTAAGACAACCATCAGGTTGTGTGTGGGTGGGTGTTTATTGCGTTGACTTATGCCTGCTTCTGCCCTCTTCTCACGGGTTTCTTTATCTCACCTTCGCCAGTGTTTATCTCCAGAGACGTCACTGGAGGAGCGGTCAACTGCCACCAAGCGTCCGGCGGCTGATGGGGAAGGGGGGGAGGAAGAGCCTAAGAAAAAAATAAGTTTTGGGCTCGGCAAACTCCAAGAGAGAGGCTCAGTGGGAATCTCTCTGTCGACCAAGAAAGCCGTTGGTGGCATCTCCATCAAACTCGGCCAGACGCAGGTATGTTGGCGTCTCTCTGTTAGTCGGACATTCACACTACAGTACGTTCTAACCGCGTCAACCACTGTTTGTTGTGTTGATTCTCTTACTTTTAACATCTCGGCAGGTACGACAGATGTAAGGTAATATACACCACAATCCTCGACATAACAAAACAATTCTTCCCACATATCCGTGAGTTTATACACATCATTATTTAGCATATGCACGGGTTTTATATATATACAGTATATTTAAATGATCCACATATCCGTCTCCATTTGTTTAGTATGTATTCAGTGGATAATGTAGTTTAGAACTGTATTTATATAGAAACATGTATGGGTGTATAGTTGTCCTTGTGTCTTGGTGGTATTTTATTGGTCTTCTCGGTGTGAGGTGGTATGGTACTTTTCACAACCTTAAACCTTGGGTTGACTTTTAAAATTCCACGGTGTACTGTACTAAGCAAGTCTAACCTACATGTGGGTCATATCATGTTACATCACACTACTGTAAAGTCATGTATTCCTCTCCTAGTCCATTATGCTGTAAAGAAGAGAAAAAGCCTTTATATAAGAATAATAGATGTATGCATGGTCTCTTTTTTTCTTCAATATTTCACCATAGAATTGATACAACAAATATAGTTTCTAGTTATTTAAATGAATTTAAGAAGACTTCTGTATTGACTTAAATAAATTGTAGTGCAGGGACAAAGTGTTAATGTACCGTGCTGAAATAAGAATACTGTAATGTGTATGAATGTTGGCCTTGTATATCACACCATTACATACATACATTCATACATACATACACACACACCATATATAAAATACTTGGTTATACTCTGAAATGCATACTCTGAATTTCAGCAGCAAAAGCCAGCTAACCAGACAGGTGTATTAACAGTAAAGCCAAAGGTTGGGTCAGCTGCATCAGTGTTTGGTGGAGAAGAAGATGAGGATGATCAGGAAGAGATGCCTCCAGAAGCCAAAATGAGAATGAAGAATATAGGAAGGTAAGAGGATCCTGCCTTATGAAGTGGAGGCTTGTTATATCTAGTTTCCTATGTGTACGTCTTTAAGTCATCATCGTCAACGTTTTATGATAATTTGCACGTGTTGGCCATGATTGACTTGGTGGCAGCTCTTGTGTAAAACCTCCCCTCCTCCTGGCACTTCACCATTACAAACCCAGGGGAGCAGCCCAGAAAATGTATTAGAGATGAGGGGATTTGCCCAGCTTTGGTGACCCAGTTGTTATCAGGCTTGTTGATGCAAGGTGTTTACAGCTGAATGCCCTTCCTAATGCCAATCCATACTCAATGAGGTGATCAAATACTACTACCCATTTACCTTTGAAGAAAATGGTAAATGAATAAGGTTTTTGTTATTGTTTTCTATGAGCATTGTCTCCAGCCCTTACACCCCCCCCCCCCCAATAAGGGTTAGTCTTTTTATCTGTTAGGTTATCAATGACCTTGACTCTTCATCTCCCCTTGTACCTCCAGCCTCAGAAATAATGATCTCAACCACTATCCTTGTTCAATTGTACTTTCTAAATGTACAATGAAGTAATGTTTTGTGTCTTGTTTTTAGACACACATCACACTCAAACACACACAAATGCGATTTCTCTCTGCAGCAGGCTTACCCTTCTAGAAGAAGGTATAGCCAGACCCCCGTTCTGGGAGCAGGGACTCACTAATGGGTGCTATATCCATGTTTTACCTAGCCAGCTCTTTTGCTACAAGGGCCGTTCTTCTTTCAGGACGCTCATTGTGCCAGTATCAAGAAGGGTCCTGACATTCCATGCAGCGACCATAAGAAGTTGTATAGTTTGTATTTGTTTTGATCTGTGATTATGATTGTACGTTTGACACCATAAGGATGACCTTACTGGGTGCAGTTGCCCAGTCAGGTTGGTTCTTTAGGCAGGCTATGTTTAGGGCACCTTTTCTAGCCCCCTCCTCATGTGGGGTGAGCAGAGTGGCTCCTCGAAAGAGCTGCTCAGTCCCACAGACAGGACCGGATGGCACTGCTGCCTAGATCCCAGTGCATAAACGACCATTTTATCTGTGCCGCCCATGTGCAGAGTTGTGACTGGAGACTCAGGGCAGTCTTCTCTGCCTGCCCCCGTCGCCATAGGACTTTTGAGGGTAAAGTATTGGGGTTTTGATGATGATGATGAGAGGTATGATAAGCTGGGTGATGGCTGTGCACGAGTTGATTTATGTGGTGAGGCAGAAAGGCTGTAACCACACATCTTGACTCTCCCTTTTCCTCATCCAGTGGTGCAAGTGTTGCAATGACTGGGGAGAGGGAGAGTTGCAATGGACTGCCAATAGCCCAGTTTGTTGTTTTTCGCCTTAGTAGCCTGTCCACCATGCATTGCCTTTATCTGCCGGTGTAGTCGTTGGGTTCTCTTGATGTTCAACTCTTCTGCCTATACTGCTTTTGGGGTCTTGTTGGAGCTCTGTAAGCATGGCTACCTCATGTGGGGCTCCACCGCACATTTTTTGTTCGGGGTTTACTTCCGTAGCCTTATACCTCCCAAGGTTAATCGGCAAGGCAGCGGGACGGTGGTTGGTAGCCACCAGGATGTGTCCACATGCCAGTAAATCTATGCACCGTCCCTCTGATATTCTGAGATCCCCTGTTGTTATAGCCTGGGCCCACAGGGCACCCAGTAACCGTTCGTTGCCACGAGGAGGCACAGAAGGAGTCTTGATGATGAAGAGGCTGTGTACTGGTAGGGGAAGACATATGGAAGTTGCTTCCCTGTTCACCACGAGGGCTAGCCAGCGGCGGTAGTTGAAAGTGAGAGGGAGCAAGCAATGCCAGCACTTTAACACTAACATAATACTGCCACATCAGATACATTACACCATCCTGTGTGCATACTGTATATATAATCAGATACAATAAACTGGTCAGTTTACAGTAACAGATAAAAGTCAGATACCAGATAGATAACACTTAAATAATTAATTATACACAGTGAACAAGATTATATTCTGTACCATGATTGACATGTACTAAAAATGATGTGGGATATTATGTAAGTGAAGAGGGATGAATTATAAATACATGTACAGGTAATTACAGTATAAATGTATAAGGGATTATATGGGATTAATTATTGATGATAGATACAGTACATGTGACAGGTATAGTTTTGGTAATTTAGATGACAGGTGTGATAGGTGCAATTAGCGAGGGTGATTAGTTAGGTATGAATAATTATTATTGATAAAATCAGTATTTATGACGAATTAAATGACAAGGGTCAGAGTGAGAGGTCAACATTTGATAAGGTAAACAACAAGAACAACTTGAATGAGAAGGAGGGGGTGAGGGTAAAGGAGACAAGATAAGGTGGTGTTAATGAGATAAATGGGAGGGGGAAAGGGGTGAGAGAGAGGGGGTGGAAAGGGTGAGGAAAGACAGATGAGGGTGATGTAAACATAAACCGCTATCCTGCGGTCATGTTCACAGTGTGTGTGTGTGTGGTTATTTCAGCTGAAGATTAGTCCCCAAGCTTAGGTTCACTGGAAGATTTACCAACCAAGAACTACTTTGGGAAGGTTAGGTTATGTAAACATAGGTTAAGTTTGGCCAGAGTGGTTAGGTTAGTACATACACTGTTTAGGTTACTGTTAAACACTCTCATAATAATAACAACAATAATAAACCACTGTTAGCCCCAGAGATCAATCCCTGAGTTTCCAGACCCTGCCACGTGGAGGCCAGTGGTTAGAGGGTCCAATTTATTTTTTTTTTTTTTTTTTTGTCATATGTGGGGGTCAAGAGAGTAAGGGCCTCTCAGAAGTCAGAGTTGTAACAAATGTGGGGGTGGGGTCAAGAGAGTAAGGGCCTCTCAGAAGTCAGAGTTGTAACAAATGTGGGTGGAGCTTTTGACCAGGTTAACCAGGTCTCTTACACCTTGGTCCACCTGGTCAGGGAGACCGGTCACAGTGACCTCATCACTTTTGACATTTTTGGGGGGTAGAACTATGGTTATTCTACGGGTTAGTGATAGGTACTGTATATTTTGACCCTGTCTGCCAATTATTAGGCCGTGGTGGGCCTTAGGGATGAACACTGTTTGTGACACTGGCGTACTGAGACGCCGCCTTTCCTTTTCATAGGCCATCAAGGACTCTATATGATCCGCGGCATCCTGCACCAGGCCTTTATCTGGCCCTACAACCCGTAGGGGCTGGTCCTTGGACCCCTTCTGAGGAACAAAGACGCGAACATTGTACTTTTCCTGAATCTCTTTTATGGTAGAGCCACCTGGGCCTACCACAACCCCTAACATGTTGTTAGGAGCAGTGATGGTCACTGTCGTAGTCACAGCCTTTTGAACCAGGGCTTTTATGTGATCCGCGGCGTTGTGCACCTGGCCTTTATCTAACCCTACAACCCGTAGGGGCTGGTCCTTGGACCCCTTCTGAGGAACAAAGACGCGAACATTGTACTTTTCCTGAATATTTTTGATGGTAGAGCCACCTGGGCCTACCACAACCCCTAACATGTTGTTAGGAGCTTTGATGGTGATTTCCGTCGTCTCCTGCACCCACTGGCCCCTCATACGAGCCACTTGGGGTGTCACTGTTGGACCCTTGGCCTTCTTCTCGGTCATTTTAGTGACGGGCTGGTGCTGGCGTCGTTCACTTTTAATATTCTGCATGATACACTTTTATGACCAAACCAGACCACTGGACTCATGTGGTGTAAACATTATGTCAGGTTACCACAGTGAACCTCTTGTAGTGAACCTTTGTTATAGTAATGAACATGTTATTATAGTGAACCTCTTGTAGTGAACCTTTGTTATAGTAATGAACATGTTATTATAGTGAACCTCTTGTAGTGAACCTTTGTTATAGTAATGAACATGTATAGTGAACAGTGAACCTCTTGTAGTGAACCTTTGTTATAGTAATGAACATGTTATTATAGTGAACCTCTTGTAGTGAACCTTTGTTATAGTAATGAACATGTTATTATAGTGAACCTCTTGTAGTGAACCTTTGTTATAGTAATGAACATGTTATTATAGTTAAGATGTTGTAGTGAACCTTTGTTATAGTAATGAACACGTTATTATAGTGAACCTTTGTTATAGTTATGAACATGTTATTATAGTGAACATGTTGTAGTGAACCTCTTGCAGTGAACCTTTGTTATAGTAATGAACATGTTATTATAGTGAACATGTTGTATTGAACCTTTCTTATAGTAATGAACATGTTATTATAGTGAACATGTGGTGAACATTTGTTATAGTAATGAACATGTTATTATAGTGAACATTTGTTATAGTAATGAACATGTTATTATAGTGAACATGTTGTAGTGAACATTTGTTATAGTAATGAACATGTTATTATAGTGAACATGTTGTAGTGAACATGTTATAGTGAACCTCTTGTTATAATGAACATGTTATTATAGTGAACATGTTGTAGTGAATATGTTGTATTGAACCTTTCTTATAGTAATGAACATGTTATTATAGTGAACATGTTGTAGTGAACCTTTGTTATAGTAATGAACATGTTATTATAGTGAACATGTTGTAGTGAACCTCTTGTAGTGAACCTTTGTTATAGTAATGAACATGTTATTATAGTGAATATGTTGTAGTGAACATGTTAGTGAACATCTTGTTACAATGAACATATCATAATGAAAATGTTATACTGAACATGTAGTTATAGTGAACATGTTGGTATAGTGAACATGTTGGTATAGTGAACATGTAGTTATAGTGAACATGTTGGTATAGTAAACATGTAGTTATAGTGAACATGTAGTTATAGTGAACATGTAGTTATAGTGAACATGTAGTTACAGTTAACAAGTATTTATAGTAAACATGTAGTTATAGTGAACATGTAGGTATAGTGAACATGTAGTTTTAGTGAACATGTAGTTATAGTGAACATGTAGTTATAGTGAACATGGTATAGTAACAGCATCTGTCAACATATAAAAACAAGTCATTATATCAAATGTAGGGTTATTTACTTGTAGCAAAAGTATAAATTTACAGTATATAAATAAAGTAGATAAAGAGCAACTAAACTTACCTTACCACTCCCTTCTTACCTGTTGGGTGACATTCACTCTTTACACCAAGTGGCCAGCCCTCTTTGTACAGTATCTCACAAGCAACAGACGCATTAAAGGAGATATGTGAATTGCTTCCTGTGTTCTCCCATAAAAGGACGGTTGTTAATTTTGGTTTAATCGTTATTGCGATGTATATAGTGTGCAACATATACTGTATTGTACTAAGTAAAATACTCTTTGGGTTTAGATGTACACAATACTGTACTCACTACACTCAAGTGCTACTGCTCTGTCCAGACAAGTGCCATATAATAACATGTAACAATGTAGCAGCAACTGACAGGTCTATCTGGTATAGCGGTAGTAATGGAAGATTTTAGTTGTTCCTGGACACAAACCCTTATTTTCCTACAACTTAATAATATGTAGGTGCAGTGAACCCCAGGTAAAAACAAGGGTTTAATGTACAGTACTGTCCTGTTCCAAATACAGTACAGTACCTCGTTCTTTTAAGGGAACTCGGTCACGTTTGTGAAAATTGAGACGATGGACACGCTTAGTAGTTTTTGGCATTTTTAGATTACCTGAACATTATTAGCTCTTCCTACAATTAGCTGGGTTGGGGTGGGGGAATCATCAGGTGATCCACAAAGGCTAATATTGTGGAAGATTGTATTTGTGGTTTTGGTCTTGATTACATAACTTTTCTTTATGTATTGCCTCCCCCCCCCCCCTCTTGCTGTGTCAGGATGATTAGTGTAGCGCCACCTCCAGATTTTTCTTATGTGACATATCTCAAAATAGTACAAACAATATATGAGTTTTGACTAATGTGTTTTCTTTGTTTCTTTTCCCAGGGACACGCCCACCTCAGCTGGCCCTAACAGCTTTGGCAAAACTCGGATGGGCTTCTGTGATTCCAAGAAGATTTACGAGAAACAACTTAAAGATGTACAGGATAAACCTAACAAATTAGAACAAGATGGGTTGTAGATTTTTTGAATTCATTATTTAGACCAACCACTTGTGAGGGATGGTGCAATGAAAGAAATTATTGTTTATCATCGCTGAGTATTTTGTTTTATATAAAACAGGCGTCTTTGTCCTTTCTTAATTTGTTTCTGGACAGTTTTGTGTTTTATAAAAGAATACAATGTTTAAATTTTTAACAGTGATCAGCTTTTGTTTATGTTGAAAAGTAGTTGTGAACTACTGTGGATATTATTGAAAACGTATAGCCCATTTTTGCACCTGATGGTACATTCAGGGCTTGCCAGCTATTGTATGGCAGATAAGATTGATATTTGCTGCCAGGCAGATGTCACTGTTAAGGCAGCATTGTAAGAACATTTTGTATGTATTATTTAGACTTGTCCTTAAATAATTCACACTGTGAAAGCCCACGGCAAGTGACAGATTCCAGTTCAGTACTGTGTACTTTATATGATATATGCAAAATTCATGTCTCAGTTGTTAATTGTTGTTGTTTGAAACAGTTGCATCATTTTCATTTAAATTGTGTCACTTATATAATGGCCAGTTGCACTTACTTGATGTCTCTTGTAATGTGCTCATAAGCCATTGGTTTAGACTCAGTACTGTAGCCATGACATTAATGGCTAGAACCATAATAATTAGCCTATCCTCCCCTTCCACATTCATTACCCTGAAAGGGAGAGTAAAAGCACAGATATTTCCCTCCAGTAAACTAGGGGGGCTGATAAACACAGTTTTCAGGTTTTGTCACCAATTTATTGCTGGCCACACATTCTTTTGAGCAGGTGGTCTTGCTGACTGTTCCTCTTAAGAGTTTGAGATAAGTGCATCACCCCAGTTTTTTAGGACTATTTAAGGTGTTGTCGAGAACCACACTGTCCGTAATGTTAATACTTAGCCAAAGCTTTCTTTATTTAATGTTATGTACATTAATTACAGCTTTCTAATGATCCAATATGAATACAACTCCTGAGCCAGTTAGGAACCACCAACACTCGCTTTGAGTCAAGGTGGTTTCACAAAGAGTGCCTGGATGAAAGTGAGACGCCTAACTAGGTCAGAACGTATTCAAGTCTCAGGCTGGACATAGGAAGTTGTTTCACATAATTCATTGCCATGTCAGGGCTGTGCATTCCTGTCTTATTATTACTGAGTTGAACAATGATAAAACATTAAATCATAATACTGAATATAGTCTTCATATTCACTCTGCCAGACTGATGAACCCAGAGCCTTGCATCTAGCCCTTTAGTTCTGTCTGCAAAGAGGCATCTCGTCCTTGGTTCACATATTTGAACTTATTGGATGAGGAGACTTAAACTGATGAGCTATGTGGGGTCGACAAGCTAGTAAGATTAGTATTCCTTATTCTTGTTCCTGACTAGAAATTGTTTATAAAGTAAGGTTAACTTCCCTCAAGGTGTGCAGTGTAACAGTAGCTGTTTGAATATGAAGTACCACCACCTCCTTTTGCTTCATTTACTTGAGCTAGCTAGTGAGGAGTGTCTGGTCTTGAATGAAGATGAAGGATTGGCTATTACAGTATAGTTGAGCTTGGAACTTGTCTTCTTGTGAACTCTCCCTCCTCTCGTGGCAGTCAGTCAGGAAACAATTGGGGCAATAATGTCACATGCTCACTGGGCCTTCTGCCTCCCTCTGGTTTGCTGTAGGTAAACCCTTTGTTTCTACTTTACCCGTCGGAGTGATGGATGCTGGAGGGGAGGACAGACTATCGTAAGATGAATCCCGCCTCTTGTTCTAGACCAATGGCTTGAGTTATATATAAACCAACTTGTTCCAGGTTCAGCCATAAAATGGAATTTCAGGATCGATCCTTCATAAAGTTTATTATAATTATTCTAACAGTGACTGTTGTGTTGCAGTCCATCTGGTCTTGGATTTTCTCGATACATAAATATGGAAAATACAGTTTGTAATGAAAGTAAATATTTGGCATTTGTAATTTCATCCTTTGAGAAACAACAATAATAATTATTTTCCTTTTACTGTAATTGTAATCTGAAGAAAATGTTGCTGGGGACCAAATGAAAATTGTTATATTTGTTTAGTATTTGCGGTGCCGTACCAGCAATGGTCAACTCCCGCACAAAGTTTCCAATATTTACACCCAGAATGAAAACAGCAATTAATAACCAGAAAGGAAGTGTGACATTATCAGCTACCAGATAAGGTTATACAACAGTAATGTATTCCATCAGTCAAAATTTTCCTTGAACTTATTTCTTTCTGTGGCAGAACGTCGAAACGGCCGAGGAGTCGTTTAGAGATACCGTACCTTATATTATAAAGTCTTGTACATTTGTAATTAAATCACACATTTTCATCCAAATTGTTGCATAAATAACTTAGTAGTGTACAGCATCTTGAGTTATAAACAACCCTTTATGTGGGGAGAGAATTCCACGTTCTTCATATCAATGTTTGGACGATAAAAACCTAAGATATAGGATTTATATTTAATGGTTCTAACTAAAATTAAGAAACATTAATTCCAGAAATGTTTTTAAATGTATTGATATAAATGTGTTGACATTTTATAATTTACACTGAAATATTAAATGTATTGAAGTATATTTTTATTAATAGAAAATGTGTCAGTTTTCTTTGGTAAGCATTAAGCATTTGTCCATTGTTTATAATAAATTGTTCAGTTGGTATTGTTGTAACCATATAATAACAAGCTATGACATGAGTGATAAAATCTGTACTGTTATTACAATAAAAGATCTCCTTTACCCTGTACAGTTATTATGCCATGCTGAACAACAATAAACTGTTGCTTATTCATCCATGCTGCAGAGTTACCTTACTTCAGTCCAGGGTGCGGAGTAAACCCTTGATAACTATCAATTGTTAGATCCCCATATATTCCGAGTTATCGAGGGTTTTATAAACACAGTAGTGACTTCTCTTACAAGTATTCAACAGATATATGTTAATAAACTTGTCATTATATTCATCTTTAGATGTTATGTTTGTTTACCAGGTGTAAGAGTTATATCAATCTAAAGATCTAATGAACTTGTATCATATTTAGACGCTCGACGGTACGGCAAAACCTCTATTTAACAGACTACATACAGAGGAAAGTTCGTTATATTGAGAGTCCGTTAGATGCGAGACCTCCATCTAACGAACTACATAGTAATGGTAAGTGATATAAGCACTGTTTAAAGTACTGTTAAAATATGTAAACTTTTTGGTGAATATCTTACAAGTATTACAACAAGAACACTATATTAAATACAGTAGTACCCCGCTTAACGCGGTCAATAAAACCCACAGGGTACCGCGCTAAGTGAACAACAGAACATATGGGATTAATTCCAATAGAAACTGGCCCGACCCCCAAACTCCACTTTTTAACGACACATAACTATGTTGTAGTAAATATTTTATCTTAACTTTATGATGGTATGAACAAACAAGTAATATAGAAGAGGTTAGGCTAGGAAAAATAAAGGTTAAGTTAGGAAAAATAAAGGTTAGGTTAGGAAAATTAAAAGTTAGGTGTAACACTTACGTTAGTAGAAGACACACACTGCGCAACCTTACAGCGCGGCTTGCCCAGGCGGAGGGAGGCGGGAGGGAGGGAGGAAGGAGAGGCGAGAGCAGGCAGGCAGGCGGGTGGGGCGAATCTAAAAATAGCATCTCGAGCCGGACACTCACCGCATATACGTGGAAAAAACCCGCGTTAAGTGAAAGTTCGGCTCTGGCGAGGCACCGTGTATAAGGTAAAACACGCTAAGCAAAACCGCGTTAAGCGGGGTATTACAGTATATCAAATTACTAGGTATGGGTCACAGAAAACAGAGACTTGTAAATGTGGCCAAATCTTAGAGTACATGTAGTGTGTTAGTAAAATATGGGTTAACATGCACAGTGGCTCAGAAGATGGTGTTTTCTCCTCTCAGTGTTGAATGTTGTTGTAATTACCCCTGATGTACTGTAGAGAAGCTTGACAACACAATCCTAGAGATGTCTCAAGGTTAGAACTGTACTATTTCCATATAACATTGTATTATAATGCCGATTAATATGAGACAATTAATCTAGGTTTGTTATTTAATGTATACTGCTTTTAAATGAAGAGTTACCACTGACTCCAAAATGGATTCTTCATTGTGCGTGAAAAACAAAAATTTTGTCAAGGTTATAAATCAATTTTCTTCTCACAGATGAAGTACTGTAGTGGATTTCTCCCCTACAAACGCCGTTTGTCGCTGAGTAGCCGACCCCCGCGAATTCCCCAGTGTATGCCTCGTGGTCTAGGTCAACCAGCGCCGCCCACGGAGCGGAGGTCAACTATTAAGCCACGCCTACCTCCGCTATAAAAGACCTGACCTCGTGGTGACCACTCTCTTCTTCTAGCTACAGCCGCAGCAAGCAACACCACCTCCTCCTCCGCCGCTGCCTGGCGGCCCTCGGTCCCGCCGGCGAGCATGGCAACCCACAAGCTTGTTCTCCTGTGAGCACCTTCCCCAACAACCTGTTCCCCACAAATGGTGACCCCCGGAGATTAGCACTCACATAGGATGGAGGAGAAACAGATCACGCTCCCAGTCTTCAAGCAACATGGAAGACTGGCTTATCGACCCAGAAGCAGCTCTCATCGGCTCTACACCGCAGGTTAGACACCCTAGAGCAGCACTGCTTCTCTAAGCAGACACCAGCTCCTCTTCCTGCCGCAAGCACCACGTCCTACCGACCCCAGCACACCCGTCCTGCCTCAGACGCAGCCCCCGGCCCAGGAGTACCCCCTGCCGCTCCTCCTGATGCAGCCCCTGCTCCCGACGCGGCCCATGCGCCTGAGTGCGGAGCCCACACACCCCTCTTTTCTCCCTCAGGTACTCTCTGCTACTGTCCTGCACCCTGCTGCTGTCGTGGACCCAGCTGCTGTCACGAGCCCTCATCCGTTTCTGCTGACGCAGCCCCTGCTCCTGACCCAGGCCCACACACCCCAGCAGGCGCATCTGATACCCTCATATTAAGTGAATTTGACTCGGTTGAATTTTGTTGAAAACGTCAGTGTTCCTGCTTCTACGTAACTTAATGTTTTGGGTGTCAAGTGTTTGTGCGCATTTGCTTCCTTGCACCAAGACATATCTTGTAACCTTTATGTATGGATGTACAGACCGAATCCAAGACTCGTGCTTCAAAGCTTGAGCTAGGCTGTGGATTTGCTGGCATAAGCCCAGTGGTAATTCATCCTATACTGTATGTATCAGTCCCAAGTATATTGTTCTCACTGAAAAGGTGAATACCAAAGTGTCCTGTGTTGTAAAGAGAGTTAACAGGTATATTATTAGTAAGTGACCAGCCAAGTGTCATATTTAAGGAGTTAATGTTATGTTATGAAATATATTCTGATAGAAAACCCTGGGTGGTGGCAGCTGCTGTGGGTATTGAAGAGTGTAAGGTAACAAGGGGCTTCCCAGGTAAACCTAAGTAACAGAAAATAAAAAATACTTTGAGAAATTGAATTAGAAAATAAAATAAAACAATTGTTACGAGTTGGGGATTTAGAATATAGTTAAAAGTCTACCCAGATCCCAACAGGCAACAACAATAATAAAACCAAGACAATCGGACTATAAAAGGGTAGACAAAGGATGCGAGTTTTTGTTGTGTATAATAAAGTACCATAAATTCCTTAACAAAATATTCAGCTTTTTATAATTTACCCTTAACCATACTTAACCTAAACATTAACAGTATATACATATTTATACAACATACAATAATTTGAAGCAAGGTGGAGGTGGGGAGGCAATATAAGGTAACAAATACTTAAGTGCGGAGCTGAGATGGCTGACGAGTAAGGCTGAGTATTGTAGAAGACGGTAGGTAGTCACTGTGCCGTAAGTTTCCAAGAGAGGTGCTCCTGTGGTCACTTCCCAGGGTAAACTGAACTCTCCTCGAACTGGAGCTGAGAAGAAGACTTGAAGGAGGTGACGCAACAACCAGGATATGGAGAAGGGAAACCCCGGAGTGGTAACTAAGAGTAGTCATACTCGGGTTTCGTCCCTAGATGGCGTTGCTCGTGGTGCTGGGTAGGTAGATCAGGACAATAGATGGCGTGGTTCGTAACACAATTTATAGAAGAATATAGATATATAGTGTATTAAATGAAATAAATTTAAATTATAAAAGCATCTTTATCCCCCCACAGTATATGTTTGTGTCTTCATAGCCTATTAATGGATATAGTAATATTCATTTAAAGTATTTTTATACAGAATATATGAGTGTACTGTACCTACATTGCCCCTTTAAGTTTTGGCCATACAATAAAAAAAATCTGTCTGGCTTGTCTCACTAACACTCAGTAGGTTTTAACAGGCTTCTATCTGATTTGTGTACATCAAAATAAAAGTTAATTCGGTCTTGTACAGTGTAGCTTTTACACGTTCTACAACCCCTCAAAATATTATTCAGGTAAAACTGTGGACTGTCCGCACCCATATGCACGCATCGGTCTGGGCTGCTTCACCGTCCACTCTACGCAACAACTCTCCTGGCAACAAGCACGGGACCACTGCAGGTAAAACACTACTATTAACTAAACGTTCACACAAAGACCTTCTCTGATAAGACTTGATCATCTACTAAGAATTTTTTTTAACCTAATATTTCAAGGCTTTATATTTAAACATCAAGTAACATTTCCTTGTATACCAGAGTACAGTACCATTTTTTTTTCTTTATGCCATCATGAGGAGTCAGAAGGACAATGTTCTTACTCGGGTGTCTGTTGCAGGGGTATCGACGGTGACCTGGCCAACCCTTTTGACTTGTACGATATAGTTCTTTTCCTTGACGATTCCTTCCCAGGTAAGTATTACAGGTGTATTTATCTAGTAATTTCCTTGCATCTCATTTATGATCATGCACCTCAGTTTAGGCTGCCCGGATGTTCACCATGAGCTCAGTTGACATAAACATGAGTCTCTCTCTCTCTCCAATGAGGTGAAGATCATAAATAATAAGTTAACAAATGAAATAATGAATATGGGGACTATACTGAAAACTGTCCTTGTGTCTTGTAAACTTAATACTGTATTTATAAACAAGTTAATCTTATTGAATGTGTCGTCTTATAATCCTGCCCTATCAGAATCTGTGTATTCGACCTCAGAAGGCTGGGGATTCTGAATCGGTGGAACCCTCGACACCAATGGAACTTGGCAGTGGGTGTCTGGCATTCCGGTCGGCACACAAGTGGACTTCTGGGGGCGGGGAGAACCGGGCGACGCTTTGGGCAACGACGAACGCTGCCTGCTCCTCCACGGTTGGTGGAGCTTCCGTGCCGGGGCAGACCCATGCACAAGTGAGAAGTACTGTCGGGTATGGGATGTTTGGGTTCACACTCAGGATGGGATGGAGAAAGGAAACTCACATAGTGCTCTCTGTATACATGTTGTATTGGATGTACAATGCAGTTTGGTGCTGGGAAGGCAGCATGGTTACAAGCGTTGAGTAGAGAGAGCTGGTTGGTGAGGGTGCTCAGAAGAGGACAAGCTTGTGGGTCGCCATGCTCGCTGGCGGGAGCGAGAGCTGCCAGGCAGCGGAGGAGGAGGTGGTGTTGCTTGCTGCGGCTGTAGCTAGAAGAGAGAGCATACCACGAGGTCAGGTCTTATATAGCGGAGGTAGGCGTGGCTTAATAGTTGACCTCCGCTATGTGAGGCGGCGCTGGTTGACCCAGACCACGAGGCATACACTGGGGAACTCGCGGGGTCGGCTACTCACCGACAAACAGCGTTTGTAGGGGAGAAATCCACTACAGTCCTATACTCCTATTTGGATTTATATTTTGTTATATGTATATTTTTAGCCCTTAACAGTTTAAAAGCCGCTCGGACAGTTGTAATGATTCTTTAATAATAGTTTAATTGTGTATATAATGTGCTTTATGTATTAACAGCTTTTGGGAGTCTTAGAATATTGAAAACAATCGTATTTTTATTACAAAAGATTAAATCAAACTGGCACACAATAATCCAGCATCTGCTGCTTTGTTTCATTAATATATTTATATACATACAGTACTGTACTATTAATTTTATAAAATAATTTACACATTTTATTACACTGTACAATTTCTTACTTTATTGTACTACTGTATACCATTTTGTCTTTCCTGCACAGAACCCTACTCAATCATTCTGGCCACTGACTGAGCACATAGTCCAAGTGTTGACAATCCGACTGTTCCACATTACACTTTTAAATTCTAGACACTATCAGGCATTAATGCGATCTGGCTCTAATATACAAGACACTTACATTAAGGTGAATTATTACTATTTCACACACATCAACCCCTTTGTGTCCTCTTTCATGGCAACTCAATGTGTTAGCATTGGTAATTTTTAAGCCAGGCATGGGCAACCTTTCCTCAGTCATGGGCCACATTATGATTTAGGTATTTTTCAGCAGGCCAACCCACCAACATTTATATCTTACCGAACCCAAAAGTAATGCTAATATTGTATTAGCATGGACAGTGAAGCAGTTTATTCTCACTACGATATTTTCAGTTTACAATCAGACTTTTCCCATTAATGAAACAAATCCATCATAATAATTTTTAAAGTACTATGTTAATGTTTCTTGGCATTTAACAAAAGATAAGTGAAGCAGTCTGTGAATACGTTGATTTTTCCTAGTTACAATATTTGTCTTACTTATGAGACACACCCACCAGAATAATGCCAATGTTAATCTTGGCATACGGGGAACGACAATGAAAAAAACCTATAGGTATCTCTCTCTCTCTGTATATATATATATATATATATATATATATATATATATATATATATATATATATATATATATATATATATATATATATATATATATATATATATATATATATATATATATACAGTATATATATATATATATATATATATATATATATATAAATAATCCTGAGCATGCTGATCCCAAATCTATGGTACACGATTTGATTGCAGGGCAATTAGTGGTCGTAACAATGCTTTGAATATTTTAATGACATTATTTCAATGCTAATTACATGCCAACTATGGGTATCCGAGGTGTGATTTAGGTATGTTTGTGTTATTCTGGAAGTACAGTAGAACCTCGATGAATTGACTAACTGGGGCAGACCCCAGTACGAAAAAAACAAGGTCATTAAAGAATATTACATCAACAATAAAAAATTATGAAACAGAACTCTTTGGGTTAAAAATCAGACTTGCTGTAAGTCTGTTTGTCAAACTGTTTCACCAGATGATTGTTATTTACTGTAAAGTGTTATATGTAAGCAACCACAGAATTTGTCTTATGAATAAAGAAAACTGTATACTGTACAGAACAAATAAGTGCAGGAGTATATTGTAGGTGGAAGAGGAGTGTTTATCTGGGAGCAGCTGGCAAAGGGGGATGAGGGGGTAGCAGGGGTGGGTGGCTCCCTCCCCTAAGATTTCTTAAACACTTCATGCAATTTCACCATAATTCTCATATAATTTAGGTTCATTTAATACCAGGTTGATAAATATTATCCTAAAAGAATCAGTTTTCCTGTAAAAAGAATCCCACACTGAACATCATGAGTCATATGTTTACAAAGAGCAAACAACTGATCAACTTACCACAATGTCTGTCTTCAAAACTTAGAAAATTAGTACAGTACAGTCGTGCATTTATCATTTAATAAATAATATTGCAGTGTGTTTATCACCACTAATAAATTTACCATCACTTAATAAGTAATATTGTAGTGTACAATATTGTGTATCAGCATATACCCTGTTTATTCATTAATCATTTGTCTATGTGCAATAGTAGCCAAATTGAGCCATCATATAACACTCAAAGGTAGTAAATAGCGTTGTTAGGAAGGTATCTTCATATTAAATATTATACAGTGTGTTATAGTGACCCCTGTTGTAAGCTGGTCTAGTGAAAAGTCACATGAATGCATTTTGAGTAAACAGCCTTCTGATACAGTTTATCCCTTTATTTTCAAGTCATATTACAAAGTACAAACAGTATTGTATTTTTTATCTATTACTGAAGATGTTATATTAATCATGATGAATCATAACCCAAAAGAGGCCTGCTTACAGACTCAAGTGTCTTAGTTCTCAGTAGGCCTATAGTAAATCTCATTAGACCACTGTACAGTATTCAGTAAGTGTTGTTCATTTCATAAGAATTTTTATATTAATCTTCCTCATTTCTTAAAACATGACTCTTTTTTTTGTATTTCCGGTGACCAGAACACCTCGGTCCGAAAAAAGCGAACTCCGATATATTAAAGTCCGATTTATTGAGGTTTTACGTACTTAATTAGTTAAACTCTGTGTGACCACCGCCCGTGACCCCACTTGGACTTACCCAACCTTAGTTAACTCCCAAGTGACCCACTGCCACAAAGCAGCTAATCCATCAAACAAACCACACCGAACTTGGCCAGTAAACTCACACAAGTTAAAATGTTTATATTGTTGACTATATATACTTATTTCATCATTACATTTTGTAGTTACTTACACTTAAGTGATAAAACAGTATTGAACTGTGCGTGAAGATTATTCTTTTAATAAATATTGCTTTACTCACCATAAACTGGTTGTATCTACCTGAACCACGGGCCACATTATATAAAATTTCTCAAATCACTCCGCGGGCCGCACAAACACATGGTCTGGGCCGCGGGTTGCTCATGCCTGCTTTAAGCTACCAGTATGTGTGGTTAACAGTTGACCTTGTCCATCCTTAAAGGTATATGTATGTGTGAGAAATATACTTCTCTCCAATGATGTTTCTCTTGACCTATTAAATACAGAAGATTCACTGTTTTACTTACTACATAAGTACACAGTTCTATACATAATGTTACCACAACTACATCTCTGGCACATTAAGATGATAGGCACTGAAACATTTGACCATGAGCTTGTATCAGATCACCCATGTATATGTTACGATTTTTTTTGCAAGATCGGTTATTTTGCAAAATTCCCAGCATGCACACTGGTAATTTTGCAAAATAACTTGCATACAGTCTAACCAAAGTTAAAAAAAAAAGAACAGGACCACTTAACTGTGTATCAATCTACACGAGGTTGTTTGTTTGTAAGTTATTTCACAATTCCTGGCATGCATGCTGGGAATTTTGCAAAACAACCGATTTTGCACAAAAAAATAACATATACACTCAAACACAGTACAAGTATCCAGCTGTATCTCAATGGTACCTTAAATAAATAAACTTTGGGATCTGAAATATCCACCTTCAAGTAAGCATTACTTCGTCCTCAGATAAAGAAAAAGTTTTAGTGATATAAAATGTTAAGTATTTTTTTTCTGTAAACAAAACAGACAGGAAGCCACACATGTAGTTTATAATCATCTCAGAAATTTACTTGACCATTATACCTGAAAAAAATATGGTGTTCAACCTCCTCCACCACAATAAGAATTCCTCTTCTGAGATGCTAACTCTCAACATTACTTGCTGTATGTGGCCACCAAAGACTTCATATCTTAACTCATGATTATTTCTTGGCCTCACTTCTTAACCTCCATTGTCTCTTGAGTCTTACTCCCAGAGAGCACAAGGTAAGCCGCACCAAGTTGTTTCTGTTTCTCTCTCTGTCGCTCCAGCGTCTGAAGTGGCGTGTCTGAGGAGCTCATGTGTTTCATCAGCAACTCCTCGTTCCATTTCTTCATCCTCTTCTCTGTCTTATTCTTACCTGAACCCTTCCCATGGAACTTGTGGGACAAATATCTGGAAAATTAAAGACATTAGTTTTGTTTATTAGATACAATGAAGATAAAGGCAGTACAGTATAACATATTCACAAAATAAACATAACTGATAGAATGTACTGATCACTCAAGAAAGGTTATAAAAGGTCAATCTGAACCACCATTCTTACAAAAAATCAACATTGCACAGGGGAAAGTCACTGGTTACTGACAGTTCACAAAACATAAGAACATGTACAATATATTGTATTGTACATTATGATCAGTTTTAACACATTTCCAGTAAACTTTTACAATACACAGGGTTCCTCGGTGATACATGGGATACAGTACCTGAAATATATTACTATAGTGTACCTGTAAGAGTCTAAGACCCACCTGAACGCTTCTTTAGCATTTAATTTACGTCCTTCATCGTCAACATATTCCAGCTTGACATCGGGCTTGTAGCTGTCTTTGTCTTTAAATTCTGTAACTGGACCCATGTAGCGCTCACCTCGGCCCCGACCACGCTCATCGTCTACAGCTTTGTCCTCTATACTGTGTTGAGAGAAAAGATACAGAGACAATCAGTTAAACTCACACTTGGCAAAAAATCACTACACACTTACTGTTATTATTGGTGATCAAGACTAAATGTATACCAGTTTGTCAGCGAAAGTTATTTATATTTAATGATTGCCAGTTTAAACTGACTTATAACTTCAAAGGCAGATGCTAACCTGAAGTAAACAGTTTTGCAAATGATTAAACACCTTCCTACCTATGAAAACAATAAGTATGAATGAAGAAAAAAGTTCAATACTGTTACATATAGAAAAAAAAAACAGGTTTGATCCTATATTTCAAGTACAGCGGACATATGAATCTTTTTAAAAATCATTTACGGAGCCAAACTGTTAAAATCATCTTTTTACCTGTAATGTACAGCCCTGAGGTGTTGCAAGGCAGCATTAGCAGATTTAGTAACATTGGTTTTCTCTAGGTAGCCCTTCTTGAGAGCCAGCTTAAGAGCATTGGCAACACCCTTGCTAGCATCAGGTTCCTCCTCCAGGATGGGAACAGTCATGCTATCGCTGATCTCCACGCGGGTGTCATCAATGCCTACTTCCTCCCAGGCTCCCCGAGGCTCCTGTGCTTCTTTCTCCTGGAATTACAGTACTGTACCATTTGTGTATTTTACTATATTTACATAAAAGGATAAGGAGAAGAGCCTGGTGCTGAGTGGTTTTACTGGGATCTCAGAGCAAAAAAATGAGTAAGGGAATGAAAGCAATTAAGGAGAATGTTTGTGTTTCTCTCAAGACACTTGACTCTTGTTATTATTAATATCTGGTAGCCCCTTTTAAGCAGGCAGGTGTGATAGTGACTCGTGCTCTCCAAACAGAAGTGAAAGGAAATTTAAAATCTGTGAAGTGTAGTCAAAACAGCTGTTTATAGCCTCATCTAATAAACTCAAGACATTCCTTCTCAAGTCAAGTATGTTCAATAATCTCATGGCCTGAATAACTCTGACTTGCAGGACACACATGCAGAATTTGTACAGTTGCAGACAATTAAAAACATGGCTATTTGAAAAAGTTCTCACTCACACACAAAAAAGCTAACCATGACTACATTATGTATGATACCGAATGCAAAATAAAACTTGAGTGAAAACTCTGCATTACCATCATGTACGGGATATAGTTCACTGTTAAAGGAAAAAAAACTTATTGCAAGACTGTTCAATAAAACTACCCTTGGCTGCTGAAGTTGTAGCATAGTTTGGTCATCATCTGCACGATTACCAGAGAGGCCATACGTAGGGAGGTCTCCTAGTGTGCGGCAAAATTCATCAGTAGTGTTGAGTGTCATCACCAGACCAGCGTCATCATCATCTTCCTCCATTGGCTCCTCTTCTATCTTTGCTTGTTTCTCTTTCATTAAGTCTAGAATTTTATCAGTGCTGGGTTGTGAAGCCTGTGCAATCTTAGCTCTGCGGGAACGGGCTAACGCCTCCTGGAGCTCAACATCGTCCTGTTCACTCTCGTTACCTTCCTCAACGTCGTCTATCTCCATTTTTACCTTTTCCTCTTCTTCCTCCAGCAAATCTCTGAGTGTTTGAGTCCGACCCACGTTAAGTGTGTTCTGATCTTGACCTCCATCACTAATATCATCATCAATAACTTGCAATGCCTCTAATCTTGCTTGTCTTGCATTCCTTGTCCCAAGATGCACAAGAGACTCCTCTGCAATTGGCTCCAGGTCGTCTGCTGTTAATTTCTTCTTCTTCTTTTTCTTGGTCTTTTTAACTTTCCTGAAGCTGACCATTTCACTTTCAGTCAAGTACTCTGTCGCCAACTGGGATTGAGGGGTCTCCAGGTTCTGTAGCTTACGTAACTTTGCTATCTTCCTCACAGCTTCTGGTACCATTTCATCATAGGCCAAGGCTCCTCCACCAATACCAAGACGGAAACTCTTTTTCTTCTCTCCCTCAATCTCCTCATCATATTTGGTAAGAAGTGTCCTCTGAACAATGTTACCCCACTCATCAACTTCTGGAGCTTCATATTCCACCTCATCCAGCTTCTTCTTTTTCCTTTTCAGATTCTGAAAGCACAACAACATTAAAGTGGCTATAAAAACTGTGAAAATAAAAAAATAAACCTCCCATATTCTCTGGCATTATAGTTCATACCCAGTATTTTCTCTATTCCTCTCCCAGCCTTATGTGGGGTAGGTCATGAGAGTGATGCAGGAGAAAATGACATGAGAAGACTAAGACACAACAACAGGTAGAGTTACTCAACATACACTTGTTCATATCTTTATTTCTGTCACAAAATTGAATCACACATCACGTACCTTCTCGGCTCTCTCATCATCCACAATGTTGACATTTATTAATGTATCTTCAGCACCATCTAACACATTACTGTCCTTCAGGGTTAAAATGGTCGGCCCACCAGTATCAAATCTGAAAATGATGAACTTGAGAGAAAATACCATCAACTCTTCCCATATAGTACTCTCACATTCATTACTGTTGCACAAACATGTTCAAATTAGTTATGTATTATTCTCCAAGTGAAGACCTGAGATACAGTGTAATATTGTACAGGCACTACCCTTACAATAAACCTTCCCTGTTAAGGTGCCACAATACAACTGTCAATCTAATAATCCTCTTTTATCTAAACCTTAGATAATGTGAAAATGAGTCCACAGACCTGACAGTATTGGTTCAGTGTGAATATACCACAATAAATACTAAGCCTCCAGTCAGGGTTGGATGATTCCATATGTCAAACCAAACAAAAAATTAGTTTTTTTAATTTGTTTTTTTTGGGGGGGGGGGGTTACAGATGGGTTTAATGATTTATAGTAGATTTGGAAAAGGTATTACAAGTGTATGGGGTGGGAGGAAGGCTATTAAATGCAGTAAAAGTATTCTATGAAAAAAGTGAAGTAAGAGTAAATGGGTGTGTTATGTCCCCATGGTTCTTCAATAGACATGGATGTGAACTATTATACATTGATGAAAGGGTTGATAAGTTTTCTTACAGGGCTGTACACATCTCATAACCTGAATGTAAAGGAGCCAAGTTGCCACTGTTCAGTATAACTGGTGACTGCTTGTTTTAGGTTGGGCTCTGACCCTCTGATTCTAATGTGTTCAGTTCATGTATCATACGGGTCCAGGGGGGCCAAGTTGTAACTGCCTCTCTCTCCAAAAAAAATAATTAAAACTGTACGTACTTCAACGAATCCTTTAAAACTTTCAAATGTAAAAGCAGAATAATTGTTCTATGCATTACGATGAACTTAAACTTATTTTTTCCTTTAAGCATGTAGGATGAGTCTGGGTGACTGATTAAAAGTTATGTTTTATAAATTCCTCCTTTTCACATTAATTTTTGTTTATAGCAAAAGGGTACTGTATTAATGACTGCTAAATCATCCTGAATGTATTGTTTATGATTAATAGCATATTAAACAAGTTATAAAATTGACTAATAATACTTCAAACTTATTAAACCAATTATAATAATATTAAGAAAAAATTAAGCATTTTCTTTTTTCTTTTGATTAATAGTTTTTGCCAACCCTGCGTCCAGTTCAAAAAGGCATCAGAATGAATGGCACTGCACTTGAGCCCCTTCTTTCACTGGTGGGGCAACTGGATGTACTCTGCACACAGACTAGCAACCCTTAGAACAGGAAGAAAGTACTTCACCACTTAACTGCCACATATAACTTAAACTAACCTGCACACAAGCATGCACAATTTGACTAACCTTGTAAACTCATGCTGAACCTGGAGACCTGACAAGTCATTATAGCTGTACTTCTTGACCTTCTGCTCAGTCATGTCTGCCTCCACTAAGTCACCAATACCAAACTGGGCATCCAACTCTTCCAACATTTTGCTCTGAAATAAAATATTAAAAAATTAACAAATATTAAAACATAAACTTTCATTGTTATACATTGGAGCTTTTCAGAAAATGCTATAGACACACACACACACACATGCACAGAAAGCAAAGACCAGTCAAGCAATCAAAAAATATTTCTCACCTTTTTCTCTGCCAGTTCCCTTTCCTTTGTCAATTTTCGTGACTTCTTCACCCAGACTCTAGCGCTCTCCTCCTCACTGTCAGAGTCACCGAGATTCTTCACTTTTTGGAACCTCTCCTTGATGCGCCGCTTTTCTCTCTGTGCAGCAATTTTCTCCCTCAGCTTTTCTACCTGAAGATGTCACAATTAGTACAACACAAAAAACCTCATCAAAATATACAAGTAGTCTTCAGTTATTGCAGATTCTCAAATCACAGTTTCATAAGTCTAATTCATATCATAAATGTTATTTTTATTGTAGACAGTTGTTTTATTTTAATGTAATCCTAGAGTTAACCTTCAGCATGTACAACACAGGCTGAGTTTTGGAGGTATTTTTGGGAAAGGAAGTACAGTACGTCTTAATTGGCAGAAAATACAGTACAGTATATTCACTCAACAATACAAGGTAAACCATAAGATCTTGGGAGTGAAGAAATCCTACTTTCTTGTTACGCCTGTTGACACCAGCAAATTTAGACCGGAGTAAGGCTGACTCCATTAATTCACAGTTAAATGATAAGAAGCCAAACCATTGTAAAGTACATCTGAATTTTGCTGTGCCAGAAAATTATGAACACAAACCATGAAAAGCTCTCAGAAAATGACATACGGTACTGAATAGTGCGAATTATTATTCAATCTACTGAACTTAAAGTATATACTGTACTGTACAGTATGTTTAGCATTTCTATATCATTTCAAATTATTCCTAAGTGAGTGCAGTAACTCTTAATGATAATCTTTCATGTTAACAGCTATTGAACGCACACACACACACACACACACACACACACACCTGTAACTTTTGGGTAATACTCTCCGCGGGTTTGTGGACGAACTCGTCAAGCTTGCTCGAGGCGCTCTTCTCCTCCCTGTCCTCTCCATCAGCTCCCTGGTCATCATCTTCCTTTATAGGCATTGAATCAACCTTGGGAGAAATGTTTAAACTTAAAAGGCATCAAACATGAAGTAAAACATGTAAGTCCATAAACAAATCACACTGTTGCTTTTACTGCAGGACACTTCAAATGTACGGTAATAAAATACAATTAAATTTACAATGTGTATGCAATAACTTACCTTAAGGGGTTTTAATCCTAATTTTGCCCGAATCTTGTTTGTTTCGTCAATTGAAAGTGAAACATCCCCCCCACCTCCACCCCCTTGAAACAGCGTTGAAGGAGGGGAAGGAGACCGTTTGGAAATTTTGGGGGGTGGAGGGGCTGAAAATCTTGATGATGGTAGAGCAGAGTTCTTCGGTGGTGGCGGTAGTCCTGCTCCTGCACGTGACATGTACTGACCTGAACCCAAAAATTACACAATAAAAATATGAAAATTATGAACCCACTTCACATATATTAAAACACATTTGAAGAACTCCTTTCAAAACTTGGCCTCAGCCATGAATTATATCAAAACTTGAACATACTGATGAAAGGAAACTGAAAATGACTGTGTGTAGTAGCCTGAATTTGAAAGAAACATAAGCAGATATGAAGTGTAATGGCCTCAAGTAGAACAGGTAGTTGAGTGGGTGGTAATAGTTAACCATGGAATACTATCTACAGTCACATCAACTTAACCCTTAAACAGCAGTTAAGGATCTCCTAAACTGCCCCCGTATGTGCAAAAATTGGAGCACAAGGAACAGTAAACATCAATTGATGTTGGTCACTGTTTATGAGTTAAACAACTTTCTGCCAATCTAGTACAGTATGAATTTGTGATATCTGTTATGATTTGCATGCACAGTAAATATTTCTTCTTTTTAGTACTGTACTTCACTGCACAGTACCTTCATCTTTTAACTGCAACAGCTGTTCAACATCAGAGAGACTGTCTTCGCTGAAGCTCGGTGAGACGGAGCGAGAACGGTCCTCACGCCTCTTACTGCGTTGCTTCTTGTGCTTGTGATGATGCCTACAACAAAATTTATTGTAAGTTTTCTTTACAGGAAAAAGTCAGCAAGAAGTGACATAAATAGAGTAATTTAAATAAATTGTTTTCTTACCTTGAGTGATTCAACTGTTTACATGAGCAGGTACTGTACTGTATAGGCAAAGAAAAAAGTTGCTACATTCACTTAAGTTCTGAAACCCATGATGAAGAATTTGGGTCAAGTTTCCCCATCAGTAGCGTAACTGAAGGGGAACGTCGCCTGTATAGTATCCTTCATCATGGGTGGGTGTAACGCGACTTTTTCTTTGACTGTACATTTCGCAAACATTAATGCCTCTTTCATACTCACTAAAAACAATAACTTTAAAAAATTAATACAAGTATAGTATATGGACAATCATAAGATTCTTTAAGGTAAGAATATCCTGGAAAAAAAGGAAAGGATTTGCAATTTCCATAATATAAGTTTGGCGATACACAAGAACACCTCCCGGCAACATCCTTTCCATAAGATGGAAGGTGTTAGGGTCATCTCGTACGTAAGACAACTCGTACCCAAAAAAGTCAACTCGTACCCAACTCACGACATAAGTCGTACCCAAGATTACGTACACCTAATTCAAGTGATAATACATACCTATTAGCATATTTACCATGCAATTTAGCTTTAGCTATGATTACAAAAAAAGATTATGTAAATCTTGTAGGAAAGTGCAGTGAAATAGGGAAATGAAATGCAGGCTTTAAAATCATTGCATCTCATTACATAAGTATGTTATTCTGTCACATAAACCTTGCACTACAAGTACATATTTCACACTATGTGGTTTAGAATAACTATACAGTATTGCAATTTACAGATAGGCAAATAGATTTGACAGTTTCAATTTATAAACTGGGCAATGTCAACGTTTAATATGGTCATAAGTCAACAAAATATAGACATGCATAAAACAGATTGATTTTCCAGCTCCAGCTTTTTGTAAACAAATCAGTTAATATACAGTACAGCTCCTCCCCGACTTATGACCAACTTTACTTACGTCCACCCGCACTTACGACCTGCCTCAGTCGTACCAAAATTTGGTCAAATTACGTATTTTCGAGTCCCAAAGTCAGTACACAGACAAAATTTTCATCTGTAATTCACTTTAAAATGGCTGGCAAGCTTAAAAGTGAGTGTTTTGTGGTGCTGAGAAGAAAAAGAGACACCCATTTTAGATTTTCTATGTAATATTTAAGCATTTCCGACTTACGACCATTTCGACTTACGACCTGGATGTCGGTCCCTAACCCCATCGAAAGTCGGAGAGCAGCTGTATATAATTCAGCGCTCCTCTCTGGTACTTTTTCCAGTATAACAAACTTGTTCTACGGAGTGGCTGACATCGTGACATCATCAGGAATTTCTTCTTGTGACATGTCAACGTCAAGAATGAAATACAATACAGTAGTATTAAGAATATAAAAGAACGAAGAGTGAGAATATTGGCCAACGCGTATACAATTAGTTATGTTAGTGTATGTTAATGATACTCTGGATAGATTTGTTTAAAAAGTCACGACCACACGGAAACAAGACCAGTATGAGTAACGTAACGACTTGATTATGTGTCACCCAATATTCACGATTTTCCTATTTTGAGAGAGAGAGAAAGAGAAAGAAAGAGAGAGAGAGATGTATTTAATCTTAATTTGTTAAAGTCAAATAAACACTTTTTTTAAACACATTGCTATTCATACTGTATATTAAAATCACTGTTGTCCACATTTCCATTGTGGATCTACATGATATATATATATATATATATATATATATATATATATATATATATATATATATATATATATATATATATATATATATTTGCAAGTAAATCACTGTAGGTGCGCGTGACCCAGGTATATGCTGATAACCACAAGGAAAAAAAACATGAAGTTCCCAAGCGCTTTCGTGTAATTCACATCTTCAGGGGCGAGTACAAACTAAGGAGAAGTACATAACAAGGTATATATATACAGAGGAGGGTGAGATCAAGTCCTGACCATTGTGGACTTGATCTCACCCTTTGCTGATAAATGTAGGTCAACAGTTGAATCACACACATGGTGGCATCTTCTGGTGGACAGGCAAGGTGTCTCTTTATTTACATGATAAACTAGGTACAAAAAAAAAGAAGAAAAGTACTGTATGTGATTCCTCCACCAGATTGAGTTACTAAATCTTGAGGTAAGAAATATTTTATTTTATATAGATGTTCTGTTAGGTAACTGGTTAATCCAAGCATCTCTCCTAGACTATTACTGGTTTTCAATACAAATTAGTAAAAAAATAATTTAGTTAACTTGTAAAACTAATGGTAAGAAATATATACTTATTACAATTAGTATTACCTAAAACAATTAAAAACTATTGCAAATTCATTGATGTTACTTTGGTGTCCATCATTGTAAACATTAATTATAAATATATGTACATCCAAATAGCAAATGTTCTAGGTGTCCCTGTTCTAGTGTATTACCCAAAGCTCTGACAAAAATTAAGCTGACTGAGTGATGGACCCGTGTGTGGCACAGTACAGTCCTCAGAAAAAATGGCACGACTGTCAAATTATGAGTAAAATGATACATAAAAGGTCACTGGGTTAAAGAGAGGTTAGGTTATCTAAGCTTATATTTCTTGATGTAACTGATGGACCCTCAGATAACGAGTGATAACATTATTAGATATTTCTTTACTCCCACGGCCAGGCTGCATAGTTTATAAACATGACTATCCAATTATAAACCTGTATGTCAAGTTCACTTTAATAAATACTCCCATCATTATTACCTATGATGATGCTTCCTCTCTGGGTCCTTCTCCCGTGAACCAGATCTTGACCGTCTCTTCCTCTTCTTCTCTTTACGTTCCTCTCTAGTCTTGTCTTTATCTTTACTCTTCTTGGACGACCCCATGATGCTATTAAACAAATACTTAGAGCACTAGGGACAGGAGAGTACACAGTAGCACAGCCTCACTATACAAGGCTCCTCGACCATTGTTTACTAACGTTTTCATAAAGTGAACATCGACTTGCACCTCACTTACCACCTGAGGCTGTACACACTCACCTCAATATATCTAAGTAATTAAACCTGTTTTTTTTGCTACTTTATTATATATAGTATATATTAAATGTGACTATTTCCCATATATGAATTTATTATCAAGAATTTAACTATTACTGGAGGGGGGGGGGATTGGCATGTTTGTTTTATATACCTGTAAGTGAATAATTATAGCAATTGCTTCATAAATAAAACATGAATCATAAAACCAGAGAACTTAGGTTTCATTACTTAAATAGATCTATGGGTGCTACCTCGGCTGGGGTTCAGGTGCGATAGTTAATCTTAATACAAGTTTCATGGGTGTTTTTCATTCAGCTTGTGAGATCAGTTTTACCCTCTACCATCTCGTGCTATAAATCCTTCCATGATAATGATAAACTTGTGATGATTATGTAAGGGTCTGGTACAATACTTCCCCCTCGAAGGTGACAAAATATAGATGCAAACATTTCTGATATACTGTACTCAATTTTATCATAAAAATATATATATACGGTATATAGCTAAACAGTGAATGTTGTGATCGTATTTTCTGTTGTAATTACTTCAAGACGTACATTAATACAGCATCTACCTGGCCCGTCCATCAGGGGCAGATTAACTGTACTTGTGGTCCATCTTTTCTAGTGATATATAGAGATAACCAAGTTTCTCCAGTTGTTGAAGATGTGTGTGTGTGTGTGTTTTGAATGACATTTAGGGCCGATTGCAAGAACAGTCGTTGGGTGTACGACGCCATTTACGATGACCTTGCCCTGGTCTTTTTTCAGCAATGTCGCCTTTAACACATGGAATTCTGCACTTTTCGAAGCTCTTGAGGAGTCTCAAAATAAGTTTCCTGGTGGGAATTATTAGCTAGTGCTGTACTCAAAATATCGAAACTTCGAGATCTCTCCAGAGCTTCAAAAGGGTGGTATAACTGAAACAAGATCAGGGCAAGAAGGTCATCGTAAATGGCGTCGTACACCCAACGACTGTTCTTGCAATTGGCCCTTATTCTCAAAATTTTCCCTTAAAAATGTTGTATTGTACTATACATCAAAATTCATCAAACAGTTTTTTAAATACAACTTTTCAGTCCTACTACTTCTATTAAATATATTAGAACTATCTCTACTATTGCTATTAACTATTACCACCACTACTACAGTATCAACATTATTATTATCAAAGTACTAGTAATACTAATAATATGTATTGTACCACTAGTCATTTAAAAATAAATCCCAAAAGTTGCCTTACTTAATTGCTTACTGAAGATATAGTAAAATACCTACCTAATAGCCACCCAAAGTAAACGCAACAGATATTTTATACTAAAAGGTGTATAATATTAATACAATAAGATAATAGTATTTTAATATCAACATCAGTACTACATATACTGTATTCATTTAAAGAACTACATGGGGTCATCAGTTTACATCAATTATCCCTAAGTACATCTACAAGTTAAAATGGAATGACTTTTGTGCTTTAAGTTTGTTGAAGACTAGAAGTAATGAGTGGATCTAACACACACACACCTACACCACGTGAGGCCCCTCCTAACACCATCTGTGAGGGAACTACTACACCACGTGAGGTCCCTCCTAACACCATCTGGGAGGGAGTTACTACACTACATGTTTGCTGTTCAACACCTACATTAAGCTGTATGCTCACTGTATGTTCCTTTACCTTTCTCTAATGAAGGCTTTTGTTAAACCACCAATGTATGTAATAAGTCATTTATGTCCAATGTATATTTTCAGCCTTCGGGGTGCAGAACTTTTTTAATAAACCGTTAATTATTATTATTATTATTATTATTATTATTATTATTATTATTATTATTATTATTACTATTATTATTATTATTATTATTATTACACACACACACACACAGGTTAGGAGATAACAAAAAATAACTGAAGCTGTTGTTCAGGGAGATGACTACACAGGGAGGTTTTCAGGTCACGGTTGAGTGATATATGACCTTTACTGAACTTGATATTCCCCAGACTGTTGATAGATGGGGCATGACCTCACACGCCAGAGGTCTCGAGGCCGTGGTTGAGAACGGCGTGGACAGGGTGGCGTGGGTGGGCGGGGTGTGGGGTGGGGTGGCGGGTGAGGGCGGACTGCAGGATGAGGGTACATCTGGCACTCCTGCGTTGTGGACGGGGGCATGGAGGCTGTCCAAGGCGTCGCATGCGGTACTGTCGCCACCGCTTCCGCAACACCTCCTGCACCTCGCTGTTGATGAAGCAGTAGAGCACCGACACAAACACACCCTGTGGGAGGAGATGACAGGTATCATAGATTCGCCAAGTTATTTGTTGATGTTCACTTGTTATAATCTCACAAGGTAAAAATCTGGCTATCTTACATGTTCACACCCGTAATAGTGACCAGCACCTTCAGTAGTGATACACCTGCTGCGTTAGTGACAGCTTAACATTCCCCAACAAGATTAGTGATCCACCACCTCCTGGGGGAACACAACACGAGGGAAGAGGACCCACCTGGGAGGACTGAAGAAGGGCGTTAGTCAGCATGTAGGCGCCCTCCAGGTCACCCTTGTCGCCAGGGTTGACGGCGAACAAGAGGTTGGTGATGCCGAGCAGCGGGAACAACACCACAGTCGCCCTGATGGCCTTCCTGTGCAAGACCAACACATCACTCTACAGTATATATGGTTACAATACGACAGTGATCAGGACAGAATCAAAGCACTAAATAAAAAAATCAACACCGCCAAAATCCCCTCAAAGTATATACAATATTTATATTTTTTAACTACTGTACTCACTATTGTAATGAGTCAATCGAGGGCTTCTTCCCTTAATACACAGAAGAGCCAGAATGCGTGAACAACAGACATCTTGTAAGTTCTTAATGGGAGTTTTAAGTTATCTGCTGTGGCTGGTGTGTCGTGTAACAGTTGTACCCATGTTAGGTGACGACAAACTACGTTACAGAAATAGGTCCTGCGCTACACCTACTTACTAACGCTCCTTGCAATCCCCTCTGGTTATACATAAACTAACCTGATATTGAATTCAGGTCGATTTGTTGCGTAGCCCACGGAGGAGTAGTGTTGGAGGCTGTTGGTGTGTCGGCGGGCGGCGGGTGGCTGTGGGTGATCCTGCTGCTGCTGGAGTAAGGTGTCCTGGTTGTGGGAGTGTAGGAGTGGGCTGCTCTCTCGGCTGTGGGTACTGGCACAGCTCTCCTGCTTCAAGCTAGAATTCATTTCCACGCAACAAGAATCACCTAAGTCATAACTGTGGCCATTTTCATGTTGAGTGTTGTCTGCGGGTTGATGTTTTGACCGTCCGATATACGTGTGCTGGGTTAACGTGTCTCCATGTTGGTTCATCTCCTGTTGGTGCTGTCTCTTGTGGCCGCGGACGAGGCTGAGGGAACACACCCAAGAAGAGAGGCTATTGTATAACACGCAAAACCAATTACATATATTATAAAATAATAATCACAAAAATATTACAAGTATTACTTTCATTAACACTTTTACTAAGAACAAGAACATTAATTGAATTCCTCAACATTCAAAATTGACCCAGAGGCAGGTTACAGTTAGACCATGTTAGTTTGTTAAGACTGACCTAACGTGTGGAGTGTCAGACGCCCGCAGTTTGGTCACCAAGATCCGGATAATATTGATCAGGAACAACAAGTTCATCTACAAACACAAAAACTATTATTAATTATCACCATTACCTATAAATAGGAGCCTGCAATATAAATATCCTGTCATAATTATTAAATCTATTCTATTCATTTATAACTGTTATTCATTTTCTCAGTAATTAGATTCGGCTATTTCCATAATCCCCCAACACACAGCAGCACCCAAAACCACAATTATAATAAATACGAGAGGTGGAGATATATATATATTTGGCCTTCATCTAAGTCCTCACTTCACGTCTCAGCTCCACACACACACATCTTGCTTAAGGCTCCTTCTTTACCTTATGATTGCCAATTTCGAAATTCATCATAAAAAATTCGTTCTACTTTTAAATAGTTTAATTACTGCCTGGGTGGAAGGCTGGGTCGATGGCCAGGGAATTATTGAGGAAAATACAAGATGGATGTTAAGAGCGCGAATTATGGGCAAGGGAGGGGGGACGATTATAAAAGGCTCGTAAGGTAATTTGAAATTTCTCCTTAATTAGAGAATAGATAACTGTGTAAATTTAATTATGGTAAAGAGTGAGTGCAATTTCTACGCTATTTTAGCCGTCATAATTACTGCAAAACGTGACGCATATTGTTGAGGGTCTAATCATCTAATGGGTGATTAGTGTTATCAATTTTTGTTTTTACTGACGTTTCTCTGGGTGACGACACTTGTCCGTATATTTTAATGGAAATAAAGGGGCTAGACACACACACACCGGTGAGGAGCTACACTACACGCACATACACACGCATATAGATAGGGCACTAAACATACTATAATATCCCCCAGGTATCACCTCTTTCTACTTGAGCTAATTACACCATCTAATGACCCAAGTATTAAGTTACTAAGTTGGTAAAAAGAAGTCCACTAATTAGCTTAACTTCAGCAAACTTAGTTCGTTTACTTGTTGTTGAAAAGTCTTAGTTAATGATGAGGAAGAATTCAGAATGTTCGCAAGATATTGTGACTTGAGGAGGAGGTGTGAGTGTATTGATCTGTCTTGACTTATGTTAACTTCCGTGTTTTACCCTAAGTCAAAGAGTTAAGATAATTCACGGGGAATAATCAGGGTCAGGAATCTTCAAATGAGTTTTCTATGTTTTTTTTTTCAATAAATAAGTTGGTGACAAAGGATGATTATTGTTGGTGGGTTGAAATTTCGGGTATTCAATATCTTATCTGCCAACACGCAATGTATTAGATGAGGCGTTTTGGGGGCAACTAATATTTGTATTTATTTTTTTCTCTGGTTAAGTGAAAACCAAAATGCTTAAATGGTAAAGTTAGTCGATATTCTTGAGATAATATATGTAAAAGTGGGATTTAAGACTTAAGGGCACAGCGTAATTGACGTTTTAAATATTCTAAAGGTGTATTTTTTATCGTGTGTGTGTAACAGACCTCAATCACACGCGCCACAATAACTTGGTCGCCTGGACGTCTCTCTCCACCAATTACCCCCCTTTACCTGATAATATAATTAACGGACCACTTCACCTGACTGACGCATCACAGCCACCATCACAACACTGACCTGTTTTGTGGTGCTGATGACTTGTGTGTTTACTGATTTTCTCTGTCGGTCTCTCATTATTTTCTTCTGGCATTTCTATCGCTCTTTCACGATCTTGAGAGCATCTACCATGAGAGAAAAACCTTAACCATGGGAAAATCGTAACTACCACCATAGCAATGACGACCAATGGACGAACCCGCCTACTGTAACACTGGGACAGAGAGACCAGGCTTGACTAAGGGATCCATCTAATTACCTACCATTAGAGCCGTGACCATAGGAGCTACCAGGATCCACACGTAGCTTAGGGAACCATACGCGCGCCAACAGTGGACAGGGTAGTGTAGAGACATGGTAGTAGCCCAAGCCAGGATGAATACAAGTGGCGCCCCTGTAATAATAATAATAGTCAGCTGGTCTCTATAACAATTAAATTTATCCCAGCTTACAGTGACTCACCCCAGCTAAGAGTCACTCATACCCTAGCTTACAGTCACTCACCCCAGCTAAGAGTCTCTCATCCCAGCTTAGAATCACTCACCCCAGCTAAAAATCACTCATACCCCAGCTTACAGTCACTCACCCCAGCTAAGAGTCACTCATATCCCAGCTTACAGTCACTCACCCCAGCTAAGAGTCACTCACCCCAGCTAAGAGTCACTCATATCCCAGCTTACAGTCACTCACCCCAGCTAAGAGTTACTCACCCCAGTCACTCACCCCAGATAAGAGTCACTCATACCCCAGCTTACAGTCACTCACCCCAGCACTCACCCAGCAGTCACTCACCCCAGATAAGAGTCACTCATACCCCAGCTTACAGTCACTCACCCCGGCTTACAGTCACTCACCCCAGCTAAGAGTCACTCATATCCCAGCTTACAGTCACTCACCCCAGCTAAGAGTAACTCATCCCAGCTAAGAGTCACTCACCCCAGATAAGAGTCACTCATACCCCAGCTTACAGTCACTCACCCCAGCTTAGTGACTCACCCCAGCCAATGAAATAGTAGAGAGTAAAGGGCGCCCCAGAGTCGAAGACGTTGGAGGTAAGTCTGGAGTGTAGGAAGAGGCCCTCCACGAACATCCAGTTGATAGAGGCCATCTGGGCGTACATCCTGAGGGCCAACAGCGTCTTACACAGCCAGTCCTGTAACATAGGCATTATGCATTATTCAAACCCAATAAATATTATACATTATTCAGATACAATAAACATAACTACAATAACTCCTAGTTTATTTCATCCTAAGATTAACCACACTAAACCTAACCTAATCTAATCACACCTAACCTAATCTAACCTCACCTAACCTAACCTAATCTAACCACACCTAACCTAATCTAACCACACCTAACCTAATCTAACCTCACCTAACCCTAACCTGAAGATTTGGCAGGTTAGGTTAGGTTAGGTTAGCTGGTGATAACAAGTAATCCCTGGGTCACGATGTCATCTTCTCTCTTAATGATCTAATCACCTCTCACTCCGGCACAAGAGACGCCATCTATCTGATAATTACGGTAAATGACACCACCTTATGGCTCAGCCCTTAATTATGCGCCTCTAAGCCACTTCTATCACAACCAAGGGTCTCTAAAGCCACTTCTATCACAACCAAGGGTCTCTAAAGCCACTTCTATCACAACCAAGGGTCTCTAAAGCCACTTCTATCACAACCAAGGGTCTCTAAAGCCACTTCTATCACAACCAAGGGCCTTTAAGACACTTCTATCACAACCAAGGGTCTCTAAAGCCACTTCTATCACAACCAAGGGTCTCTAAGCCACTTCTATCACAACCAAGGGTCTCTAAAGCCACTTCTATCACAACCAAGGGTCTCTAAGCCACTTCTATCACAACCAAGGGTCTCTAAAGCCACTTCTATCACAACCAAGGGTCTCTAAGCCACTTCTATCACAACGAAGGGTCTCTAAAGCCACTTCTATCACAACCAAGGGTCTTTAAGACACTTCTATCACAACCAAGGGTCTCTAAGCCACTTCTATCACAACCAAGGGCCTTTAAGACACTTCTATCACAACCAAGGGCCTTTAAGACACTTCTATCACAACCACAATATTATTTTAAGTCGCAAATCCCTTCCTGACAATAAAAAAAACCGATTATACCTAAAGTTTTTGAGCAATCTATATTTTACTTATATTTCCATTAAAAGAAAAAAAAACATGAAAAAAATATAAATTCCCAAAGAATTAAACACAAGGGAATGAATAATGCAGTAATTGTTTTATCTGTGTATTTGGACACCTGTGGCATTCATACCATGGAAATTACAGTAAAAATACCAATAATAATACGATTACTATTAGTTTTATCATTATCACCATTACTACTACAACTACTATTATTATTATTAGTATTTGTTAAACTACTACTACTACTACTACGACTAAATCCACTACTATAACTACACACGGACACACACACACATCAGCCCCCCACACACACCCCTCCACTGCACTCACACACTCACACCCACTGCACACACACACCCACTACACACACCCACACACCACATCACGGTAGGTGTGTGTTTGACGACGGGACACGAAGGGCTCTGTCAGGACGAGCATCACTAGGAAGCGAACAATGAGGGCAACCACCAGGTTCCTGTGTACCCTCAGGCGGTCACACTCCAGCGACCTGTACACCCAAGACAAGATGATCTGTTAGTGGCTGTCTCCAACACTCGCTTCTCTGTCTGTCTGTCTGTCAGTGTTTACAATAGATGATAATAATAACAACAGTAATAATAACGATGATGATAATAATAATAGTAATAATAACACTAATAATAACACCAATAATAATAATAATAATAATAATAATAATAATAATAACGTTCACTAAAAACCACCCCTTTTTATTAACATTCTCTAACAACCAATCAAAACACACGTTGTTGCATGAATGACCAGTGACGTCAACCAATCAGAAATCATAAAAATACCCCTTTGTTATTGTGAGTGTTACGTGGGAGGGTGGAAGACAGACGTTCACCCAATCAGTATTTTCTCCTAAAGATGTAATAATGAAGAAAAAAATCATCACTTACATTACATTAATATCATTGAGTTTTATTAGACAGAGATTCGACCATTAATAGATACATTTATTGGGATAGATATTATAATGCATTTTGTTATTTAGCTTATATTAACCAGCTACAGCAGGTATATATTTACTTTATATCTTAATTTACGTGGAATATACATCTGAACCTTTGATAATCTTATAACTTAAAAAATATATATTTGGTTAATTATTAAGGCGAAATTAAGCTAGGGGCGTCTAATCTTCAGGTGACCCCCATACCGTACACACACACACACACCTGTCAGCGAGAGCCAATTTTTACCCCTATCTGCTTCTGGGTGATGGCCTTAAGTGAGCCAATTAATGCTATTAAACTCTTGAGCTATAATGACCTTTAGCCAGTTACGTGGTTCTTGACTAGGGCACCACCAGCCTCCTCCTCCTTCATCTCCTTCTTCAGATATAATATTACAAGCCTTTTACTCCTCCTTCGGGTGGAATATTACCCCCAGCCTCCTCCCTCCTTCTGAGAGAGAGAGAGAGAGAGAGGGTTAAGAGTACTAAAGCACCCTAGTTAATCCAATTTTACTTCTGAGAGAGAAAGAGAAGGAAACGGAGAAAGAATTTTAATACAATACGACTTCCATCTATACACCCACCAACCATCCACCCACAATAACTAAGCCTCTACGTGAACAGTCATATATAACGAGCGAGGAGGTGGGAGACGCCAACATAATCTAGGATGAAGACACTAAATAAGGATCACATAACCTTATTCAGGTAACCCCCCCCCCCTAAATTAGCTTCGTTTTTCCCGTCCAAATTCTCAACTGCCACTGGAAAAAATACCCATTTAATTTTTTTTTAAAGTTTCTCATATCTACGCAATGTAGCTTTATACTTTTATTCATTTTTTTAGTTTATATGTTTTTTTTTTTCAGCTGTTGACAAAGTTACGAGTCGAGAGGTTTGAGGCGCTGCAGCTATACGCCAATCAATATTCACATCAAAAGTGGCTTCGTTTGGCCAGAGGTCGGGAAATTACGGGAATGTTATACTGCTACAAACATGGGTGTATGTGTGTGCGTGTGTGTAGTAGTAATAATAATAATAATAATAATAATAATTTCTTGACAAATACATTGGTCATAATCTGAAAATATACACAATTAAGAGATAAATGTTACATATAACATAATTGACATTTGGGAGAGCGTCATTTAACAAAGGATTTCAGCATAGTTTCAATACAAAAGATACTGGATGCGACTGTGGTGTATGTATGTATGTATGTATATATGAATAATAAGTACATAAGAGTGAATAAAGTGATAACGGTCATGATGAAGAATGATGAATAATGATGAGCGGTGAATGATAATGAGTCAGCATCTTACCTGTAGTACGTGAAGATGAAGATGGTGATAGTGAGGGTGAGGAGAGAGAGGAGGGCGCCGATGAAGGTGATGTACCTGACGGCATCCACCACACCTGACGATCCAACCTGCAGGAGACAACGACAGGAGATCAGGAATCAGGTGTTGCGATGTTAAGGTACTGTGTAAACACTAACATTAAGGGCAGTTGTGTGTAGTGTGGTGGATGTAGTGATAGTTACAACACTAGCGCTTGTCAGACCTCACTTGGATTACCCAGCTCAATTCTGATCACCGTATTACAGAATGGATATAGAATCCTAAACTCGAATACGCTGGATGGCTTCAAACATAGGTTGGATGCTTATATGAGCAATAGGGGTTGGGAGTAAATGGGACTGCCCAGTATGGGCCAATAGGCCCGCTGCAGTTTTCTCCATTCTTATGTTCTTATGGAGTGACGTGGTAGAGGTAGTGACGTGGTAGATGTATTGACGTGGTAGAGGTAGTTACGTGGTAGAGGTAGTGACGTGGTAGATGTATTGACGTGGTAGAGGTAGTTACGTGGTAGAGGTAGTGACGTGGTAGAGGTAGTGACGTGGTAGAGGTAGTGACGTGGTAGAGGTATTGACGTGGTAGAGGTAGTGACGTGGTAGATGTATTGACGTGGTAGTGACGTGGTAGATGTATTGACGTGGTAGAGGTAGTGACGTGGTAGATGTAGAGGTAGGTAGACGTGGTAGAGGTAGTGACGTGGTATTGACGTGGTAGAGGTAGTGACGTGGTAGAGGTAGTGACGTGGTAGTGTAGAGGTAGTGACGTGGTAGAGGTAGTGACGTGGTAGACGTGGTAGAGGTAGTGACGTAGATGTAGACGTGTATAGTGACGTGGTAGAGGTAGTGACGTGGTAGAGGTAGTGACGTGGTAGATGTAGTGACGTGGTAGATGTAGTGACGTGGTAGAGGTAGTGACGTGGTAGAGGTAGTAACGTGGTAGAGGTAGTGACGTGGTAGATGTAGTAACGTGGTAGAGGTAGTGACGTGGTAGATGTAGTAACGTGGTAGAGGTAGTGACGTGGTAGAGGTAGTAACGTGGTAGAGGTAGTGACGTGGTAGATGTAGTAACGTGGTAGAGGTAGTGACGTGGTAGATGTAGTAACGTGGTAGAGGTAGTGATGTGGTAGATGTAGTTACGTGGTAGAGGTAGTGATGTGGTAGAGGTAGTTACGTGGTAGATAGTTACCTGGTGATCGATGACAGTCAAACATTGAGAGTAGTTGGTCCAGCCTCCCCGCATCCAGGACCCAGACAAATCACACTCACGGTACGCCACGGCTGTCAGGGGGAAAGGTGAGGTACAGTGACGGTACACTATATTGGTACTGTGGTAATAGTGTATATTGGTCATGGTAAGTTTACATTGGTTATCGTGGTGGTGTGGGGAACGAGTTGTTGGTTCGTACTCAGGATGGGATGGAGAAAGGAAACTCACAATGTGCTCTCTGTATACATGTTGTATTGGATGTACAGTGCAGCTTGGTGCTGGGAAGTGGCAGCGTGGTTACAAGCGTGATGTAGAGAGAGCTGGTTGGTGAGGGTGCTCAGAGGACCAGCTTGTGGGTCGCCATGCTCGCCGGCGGGAGCGAGGACCGCCAGGCAGGAGGAGGAGGTGTTGCTTGCTGGTTGGTGTAGGTAGAAATAAGAGAGTGGTCGCCACGAGGTCAGGTCTTATATAGCGGAGATAGGCGTGGCTTAATAGTTGACCTCCGTCATGTAAGGCGGCGCTGGTTGACCTAGACCACGAGGCATACGCTGGGGAATTCGCGGGGTCGGCAACTCAGCGACAAACAGCGTTTGTAGGGGAGGTATCCACTACAGTGGTACACTAATCTATCTCTTTTGCTACTATGATATACTGGCACTGCACAATACATTATATACTGTACATCCATACATACATACATGAATGGGCCACTAAGCCATGGTGGTTTGTTTTTATTCTGAATTAAACCAAACACTATCATACTGTAATCTGCCAAATGTTTGTTTTTATGGGAAACAAATTGACGAGTGACGGGAATATGGCTGGAGCGGGAAGGGGGCGAGTCCATTGGCAATAACTGGGGGAGTAAGTGTGTTGAATGACGAGGAGATAACTTGGTAATGCTTGAGATTTGGAACTTTCTTCATTGAATATTTCTTGATTATAATAAATCAAATAAGGCAGCATTTGAATATCATACCGAACTGAGCCGGTCGACTTTGTATTTTCAGAGAAAATAACTTAATATAAATAACATCGCACATGCTCAAACATGTGTTTCGTAGCTCAGTTGGTAGAGCGCCAGTTGTATCGTTTACTTGCTGGAGGTCGCAGGTTCGAGTCCTGCCGAAGCTACTTCACAATTTTTCAATTTTTTCGCAATATTTAAACAAAAATTCCAACAATACAGTGGTTGTTGTCTAGTTTTGAGGCTGTTCTCCCTCTCTCACTCTTTGGACTGTATACAATCTTTCGGTCTACTCTCAGTACACCTCACAATACAAGTGTTTGGAGTCTTACCATCAGGGTAGTTGAGGAGGTCCGGTAAATCACTGAAGACTGTGGCGCAGGATTGTTTGGCCGTGTCGCCCGCTCTGGTAGCCGGCCAGCAGTACAGGGTGTCCCAAGTAGCGTTACAGTACACAGCTGTCACCACCCCCCCACACACATATTACTGTAATTAACCTGAATTTCTATATGTCCTAAGTAATCATTGTTAGGTTAGGTTGGGTTGCATTGGGTTAAGTTACGTTTGGTTGGGTTAGGCATGTCTAGATTAGGTTTGATTAGACTAGGCTGGGTTGGATTACGCTAGGGTGGTTTAGGTTAGGCTAGGTTAAATAGGCCATCGTTTTATATTCCCAAAAGGAAAGAAATGGTCTTATATTTTCTCATTTTCTATATTTGTGCCGTACCCGGGCGAGGTGAATGGCGTGGCACTGTTTACGAAGCTGGCACCCCTATATACTGACACCCTAACACCCTAAAACACTAACACCCTAACACACTGGCAACCCAATAACGCTTTACTCAATAACAGTCATACTATACTCTCACGTAACAAAGGAACACCTCGAGCGAGTTACATACTGTACAATATTATTATTAACTGTTCACAACACAAATGAGATGACAGCATTAATGACAAGTATCCTATAATTTACGATATTCTTCTTATTAATATTATTATTATTATATCCTACTCATCTCTCGGCCAGATATACATACATACATACATGCATAAGATGGATATAGTGAGAGACAGATTAACATGAAGACTGACAAATAAACACACACACACAGTTACGATTTTATTGAATAAGTTTCAAACTATTGTATCTGGTTGGTTGGTGATACGCAGAGAACATTAGCTCTGAGGGTACAGCAGGTAGGCTATCCACCTGCTGTCAACCTCGTCCAGTATTTCCCACTTCTGAACTTTACCTTGTACTATACCCTTCTTGTACCCTCAGAGCTAATGTTCTCTTCTCTGCGTACCAACCAACCAGATACAATAGTTTGAAACTTATTCAATAAAATCGTAACTGTGTGTGTGTGTGTGTGTGTGTAGACGACATACAATTTTCATTACTAAATAACTATCATCGCCATTAAAATAAAATCTCAGTAATTAGTGGCGTAGTGAAGAAAAAAATCCCATACAGATGTGGGAGGCAGGTAAGGCCAGAGTTAATTAAAATTGTGAGTCCATCGTGAAGGTTAGCAGGCAGCCAATTCCAGAGAGAGAGAGAGAAGAGAGAAGAATCACTAGTTCCCATGCTGGACTGTGTGTGTGTGTGTGTGTGTTGGTCGGGACTCCGGAGAGGTCTTTGTTGACGAGCGTCGCCTCATCAACACCACTTCTACACTGTCTGGGCGTCTCCTAGCGACCAACAGCGCCCCTACCACCACCATGTAGTGACAGGTAGGTGTTGATTGATGGTTGGTAGTAAGCAACAACTATTCCCTCCCCACTTCCCCAAGGAACCCCCCCCCCACCCCAAGGTAGGTAGATAACAGGTAACCTCACTCCCATAGGATCTACGCTAATGAAGATAAAAATGAAATTTTTATTCACGTATTTTTGAAGGCTTATGATGGTATGAAAAGTTGTACAATAAATGTATGGAATGGAGATTTTTTGTTTGTTGTATTATACCTATGGCAATTATATACCGTATTTACATTTTGTGAGAATGATATTATTAACTGTAGTCTATAATTAAACTATTTGTCAGTATTACATTGAATAATGAAATACTAGTTTAGCCTACCAGATAAAATTGGATTAAGCGACTCAATTTTTCAACTTCTTGAAGCTGAAATTCATAACTAATTAATTAAACCCACTGGTATCATTAGCATATGTCATAAATTTTACTGTACATACCTTAAATTATTAAATTGCTTCCCGAAATAATGCAGTTAGTTACCTCATCATGCCTAACCACTTACACCCGTACTATAAAAACATCGCCAAGTCTGGCGTTCATTGCTCCACCCAGCATCTGCCATCACTCGCCCTGGCAAAAATAAACAAAGGCTTTCATTACCCCCTTTATGAGTTCTGAGGGGTCACAATACAGTGCTCAGGGGGTCAACATTTCTGCGTCACCAACACACGATACAGTAACACGTCAACACCATCTCTTGGCGGGAAAATGACGAAAATTTTGTGAAACGTATAAAATAATTTAGTTGATGAAAGATATGAGTGAAAAAAATAAGATATATTGCTGATCTGTCAAAATTTAGTATTCGATGAATAGATGTTTGTCTTATATGAATGTTCTTGTATGGAAGGTAACCGATCTCATCCTTATAACACTTGACTATATCCTTCACACACACACGCACCTATATTTTTGCAATGCTTTGTTAAACACATATGTCAACTACCTCAAAAACACCTTGTTCTTCCTGCTCGATTCATAATATCTTTATTAACCTAATCTAACCCAACCTAACCTAACCAAAATCCCAGATGGCGACCAACATTTTATAGCCTCTCATTATCTACAAACCCCCGCTGCATATATATATATATATATATATATATATATATATATATATATATATATATATATATATATATATATATATATATATATATATATATATATACTTTTCAATATACTATACGTATTTATTTATACTTAATAGCTATAGTATCTTTATTTGATAGGAGATGGAATAAGAAGTGTTGTAACTTGCCATCAAGAGGTAAGCTGTTCCAAAATTCTAGGAGGCACTTTCGTCCCTTTGGCGGTAGCTGGAGGAAGGACTCGTCTCTTCCGCCCTGCATGGTGCTCAACAGAGATAACGACTTCACCACATCATCCATCCTAAAGAGTGTACACATTAACAAAATTGAATGTATATTTTTTTTAAGGAATTTAATCACCCTAACACTATTAAGGGGGGATGAGGTTAGGTTAGGTTTACGTTATGATGGTTGGGTTAGGTTAGGTTAGGTAAAGTTACGTTATATTGGTTATCAACGCATCACAAGCAGCACTACCAATAAACAGTGACTGAATCCTCTATTAAATAAGGTATCATGATATTTTGACTATAAGTTTAGCTGTTGCTGCAAATGCATTTTTTTAATGTAAGAATAATGAAAACACTAAATATTATCAAGGCAAAGTAAATAAATTATGTAATTTAGTTAGATCGTTAAATGTTTACGTTGGGAATAATCCGAATAACGTTATCAGAACCTAATCTAACCCCACAGGCCTAGCACAACTTATCTGACGGAATCAACTTCGTAATGTACTTAAGATTTGGTCAATTTATAGCCTTGCACCGATCTTTCTCTCGCTGTTATTAATTCGAATTTCGTAATGTTTAGACGATTCTAAGACATTTTTTTATCGATGACATTCCCACCGGAAATTAAGGATAACCGAGATATTAATTTTTCAATATTGTTACATTCGCTCAGTCACAAGTGTCGCCATGTCTTGTTTACTTTTGGCGGAGTAGGTAGTATTGCACAGGTCTTTATTTTGATATTAAAAACAGGTTTTTCCCTATGATATTTGATGATTTTCCAACGAATTTGATATTCATTTCCGCCGGAAATCACTAGTTTTTTTATTACCCCCAAACAATCATAACGGAATAAGTTGGATTTTTGCTCGAATAAATCACAAATAAAATACCAACCAACCAAACAAAAGCAAACCTAACCTGATCCGCCCCCCTGGACCTCCCTTTGTTCATGCCCCCACATCTTGCCTTAATCTGAAAAAGAATCAGGTTCATCTGGGTCGTCAAGGTACACAACTACCTGTGCATACTTTGTGGGAAACAATATGAAAACATGGACGATAAATTTTGGTATATGAGGGCTGCCACTAGTCACACGTAAAATTCCGGAGCATATCGACCCCCACCTGCACTGATAGTTGTTTTAGCTACTGTACATGCGCTGTAGACATAAGAACATAAGAATGGAGGAAACTGCAGCGGGCCTATTGGCCCATACTGGGCAGTCCCATTGACACCCAACCCCTATTGCTCATATATCCATCCAACCTGTGTTTGAAGCCATCCAGCGTATTCGAGTTAATGATGATGATTGGAAACTTGTTCCATTCATCCACTACTCTATTTCCAAACCAATGTTTGCCTATTCCGCGCTTAAGAAGCAAAGGAGGTAAGGAACGATGCGTGAGAGGGTGTCAGACTCCGCCAAAAGTAAACAAGACCTGGCGAAACTTGTGACTGAGCGAATGTAATAATATAGAAAAACTTATATCAACTTCCGGTGGAAATGTCATAAAATAAAATGTCTTAGAATTGTCTAATCATTACGAAGTACATCATAATAACAGCGAAAGAAAGATCGGTGCAAGACTATAAATTCACCTAAGATTTATTCAATCATATTTACTGCTTCTGTTGATTTCCTGGCCGTCAACTGCTCGAGTCATTATGGCGGTCAATCATCTGTGGAAAGTGACGTGAAATCCGCTGAAAACTGCAACACGATCACTTTACAAACTTTTAATTACACACAAGCACACACACACAGATTGCTTTATCTCCCACAGCTAAAATATCATTAAGGAATTTTCTTACCTGCAAATATATTAGTTCAATTTCATTAAAAATTGGATCATTATTATAAAGTCAATTCAACACCCACTGTGTCTAATACTACTACCGTCACTGTATATGTTGGTTCCTTAATTAGTGTTCACCAAATACTCGTTATAGCCGTTTTAAATAAAAGTAATAAAATAGTTAAAGGAAGTACAGGTAAGCGTCACGTCTTCACCTTCACACCGCCGTGGTCCAACACCGACTGACGCCATCGGCCCATAGCTTTCCAACTCCTCTATTCTAACCTAAACAACAGCTGCATGCGCCCTACACTATAATGTATACAGTATAATCTTTGGTATGCGCATTGTATTTTTATGCTGGATATTCTAGATGAGCAAATAATGATGTGTATTTAAGTGTATATTACAGCAAATCAAGAACAGATGAGCTACCTAATGATGATACGCGAAAATAATAATAATAATAATAATAATAATAATAATAATAATAATAATAATAATAATAATAATAATAATAAGGGGGTTAGGTTTGGTTAGCATTAAGGTATTTTAATCATCAGGTAAAATAAGTTCAGGTAATCCAAAAGTACACTTCATTAAAGACAAGTCACAGG